CCGGGGACCGCGGCCTGGCGCGCAGGGCCTGCACCACCCGCCGCGGCCTGGCGTGCAGCGCGGGGCCCGGCCGGGCCGGGACCGCCGGGACCGGCGAGCGCGGCCTGGCCCGCAGGCTCTGGAGGGCTCGGCGGGGTCTCGGGGGCACGGCGTGGCCCGTCCTGGGGGGGGCCGCCGGGGCCGGCGAGCGGGGCCTGGTGGATGCCCTGCTGCGCAGGCTCGCGCTGATCGGGCGCGGCCTGGCCGGCAGGGCGTGGCTCGCCGCCCTGGCGGGCCCCGGCGAGCGCGGCCTGGCCTGGCGGGCCCTGGCGAGCGCGGAGGGCGCGTGCGGCCAGGCGGCTCCAGATGCCGCGCCTGCGCGCGCCGAGGGGCCCGGCTCGCCGGAGAGCGCCACCTGGCGGGACTGCCAGGACGCGGCGGGGCCTGCGGGCGCGGGCGGGCCTGGCGGGCCCAGGCGAACCCGGCGCGATCTGGGGATCTCGGCGCGCCCAGCGCGGCCGGACGGGCTGGTAGCGCGCAGCCTGCCCTGCGGGGCGCGGGCGGGCGAGCGGGACCTTGAGGGGCCGGGGCGGCCTATTCGCGGGGTCTCCTGCCAGTGCGGCCTGCTCGGATGAGCCCGGGAGAGCTCGATCTGGTCTGGCGCAGCGGCCCTGGAGAGCGCGGTCGGGAGGACACGGCGAGGCCTGGCGGGCCCTGGAGAGCGCGGCCTGGCGGGTCCGGGACGCAGGGTCTGCAGCACCCGACGCGGTCTGGTCTGGAGAGCTCTGCCGGCTCGGGCTGGGCCGGCCTGGGGAGCGCCGTCGGCTGGGCCGGGGGCTCGGGATCTCGCAGGGAGCCCCCGGGCTGGGGAGCGCGGCCGGGAGGGGCGGGCGCGCGCGGGCGGGCGCGCTCTGGAGGGCCCGGCGCGATCTGGCGGGCCCGGCGAGCGCGGCCGGCTCTGGCGGGCCCAGCGGGGGCGCCCTGCTCGGGCGGGCCCGGTCTGGAGAGCGTGGTGAGGAGGGCCTGGCGCCCTCGGTCGAGGGGCCCTGGGGTGGTCCGCCGGGCCCAGAGAGCGGTTCGGCGGGCCCAGCGAGCGGTCTGGCGGACCCAGCGCGCGGTCTGCAGGACCCAGCGGGGTCTGGCGGGCCCGGCCGGGCGATCGGGATCGGGAGGGCTCGTGGCGGCCCAGCGGGCCTGGGCGAGCGCGGCCTGGCCGGGCGGGCTCGGCCTGCGGGAAGCCGTGGTCGGTCGGGGCTGGCGTCCGCAGCCTGGGCTGCAGGAAGCGCCCTGGCGAGCGCGGCCTGGAACTCGCGCGCTCCGATCGGCCGGGGCCGCGCCAGGGCGTTCTGGCCTGGCGGGGCCGGCCTGGGGAGCGCGGCCTGGTTGGGCCCGCGCGGGTTCTGGAGGACCCGGCGCGGTCTGACGGCCCCGGCGAGCGCGATCCAGCCCATTTGGCGCCGTCCTCGGGAGCTGGCCGTGGGCCTGGCGTGCTGGCCGCCGCCCCGCAGTCCTCGCCCGGCTTCGGCGCGGGGAGGTGGCCCGGCTGGCGGGTTGCCGCGGAGCTTGCCGCGCGGCGCCGCGGCGGGGCTGGGCGCCCGGTCTGCTCGGCGGCGTCAGGCGGCGGCGGGAGGAGAGGCGGATGGCTGGCGCGGCGCCGCGGCTGGCGGGGGGATGCTGCCGCCTCGCGGCGGAGCTGGGCCCGGGGCCAGCACCTGGGCTTCCCGGCTGCGGAGGGACCGGGCGGCGGGCGCGGGCCGGCGGGCTGCGGTCTGGCGCCGCAGTGCCGGGGAGGGCCTTTTATGCCGGCGGGGGAGCCGCCCCCGCGCGGCCGCAGCACCGCGCTCCGCCGCCGCCGTGTCCTGCCGCGCCGGCTGCGGGGGCGCCGGAAGCCCCGCCCGCCGCCCGGTCCCTCCGCGGGCGGGGCCGGCGCTGTGCGGGCGCCGGCGCTGGCGCTGTCCGCGGTGCCGCGCTGTCCGCGGCGCTGTCCGCGGGCGCTGTCCACGGTGCCGGGCTGTCCGCGGCGCTGTCCGCGGGCGGGGCCGGGCGCTGTCCAGGCGCTGGCGCTGCCCGCGGGCGCTGTCCGCGGTGCCGGCCTGTCCGCGGGCGGGGCTCGGCGCTGTCCAGGCGCTGGCGCTGGCGCTGTCCGCGGTGCCGCGCTGCCCGCGGGCGCTGTCCGCGGTGCCGGGCGGCAGGTGGCCGCGGGTCGTGGGGACAGGGGTTTGCAGGGCGGACAGGGGTTTGCAGGGCGGACAGGCCCGGTCTCGGTCTCCGCGGGCGGGACACAGAACCGCTGCGCGGCGGTGTCGCAGCTCAGAAACCATTTCCTCTCCTTCACCAGTTGGCATCCTGATTTCACCCCCTCCTCCGTTTTTAAAGACCTCGGCTGTCCGTGTTGAATTGGACCACTTAACACTCCCGAGATCACTAATCAATAATCCGAGGGCTAACCTTTTAATTTTGTTTATTTTATTTAAAAATATATACATTTTTTACTGATTTTAGAGAAGAAGGAAGAGGAGGGAGGGAGGGATAGCAACAGCAAGGATGAGAGAAAACCACTGATTGGCTGCCTCCTGCATCTCTCCCTCCGCCCCCGCCGGGCCTATAACTCGTGACCGGAATGGAACCCGGGGCCTGCAGTCCGCAGGATGACGCTGCGTCTAGTCTACTGAGCCAGACCAGCTAGGGCCCATTTTGTTTTTCACTAGTTGTTTTAGATAATGTAGTGAATCCCTTCTTGAACAAAATGCAGGAGGAACCCGACAACAACCACTATTTATGGAAGTGACCATTAGCCCACACCTGCATTTAAAAACGTGCCCCCTCTCTTCCTTGCTTCCTCACCCCCAGCCCCAATCTGTGTGTGTGTGTGTGTGTGTGTGTGTGTGTGTGTGTTTGTGCGTTTGTGCGCGCGCTGTTTTCAACTCTTTGGGACTCAAGTGGTAACAGTATGAAATGAAAATCAACTCCATTGTTACCTTCCACTGTGGTTTATTGCCCGACACCCCGCACATGGGTGTGGCCCCACCCCATTTAGCCTGCTCTTCTGTTGGCCGTTGGGCTGTTCCCAGGTCATTGCTGGTGTGAAACCTACCAGTTGTCCTCTCGCGGGTTTCCTGCTGTGCGCGTGCATGGTTTGCTCTGAGCATCTGCCTGGGAGCTGAAGAGTGAGGTCACAGGGTACGTGAAAGTCCAATTTCAGGGCCTGAGGCCACGCTGACTTAGAAAGTGGTCACACCAGTTTTCCCCTCCACGCCGCGTGGAGAGGTCTCCGCCACCTCTCCTCCCACGTTTGGCGTTTAATTTTTGTCCATGGGATTGCTGAAAGCAGTGTGCCATGTGGTCTCGATTTGCAATTCCTTGTTCACCAGTGATGTTCTGCGTCTCCATGCATTTATTGATGTGTTTTCTGTCTGGACACGTCCTGTCCATTTTAGATTGAGTTACGTTGAGTCATGTGACTTATTCTCTCTGCCTAGAAGGCTTAGATTTTCCTCATTGCTTTTGATTTTAAAATTCATCCTACCTTGGCTAGCTGTGAGCCTTAAAAAGCATTCTCCTTTTTGTGTTCTCTGTCAGGCTATTCATTTTCCTTTATTTCCTAGACTTATAATTTTTTTTGTCCTTTGTGAGTTTATATATTATAGATGCCAGTTCTTTGCCAGCTCTGTGTACTCCCATTTACAACTTGTTTCTTTTGTTAAGCTATTTTTGATGAATGTAAAAATTTTAAATTTAGTAACAAATTTATCAGTTTTTTGTAGGTAAATTTTATTTAGTGTTAAATACTTTCTTATATTAAGATATAAAAGATGCCGAAACCGATTTGGCTCAATAGCGTCGGCTTGGGGACTGAAGGGTCCCAGGTTCGATTCCAGTCAAGGGCATGTACCTTGGTTGCAGGCACATCCCCAGTACTGGGTGTGCAAGAGGCAGCTGATCGATGACTCTCTCTCATCGATGTTTCTATCTCTCTCTCCCTTTCTCTCTGTACAAAATCAATAAAACATATTTTAAAAAAAGATATAAAAGATAACTATTTTTTACTAAAAATTTGAAAGTCTGGTGTTGATGTTTGCATCTTTAACCCATGTAGAGTTTATTTTTGTATGTGGTGTCAGATAGTGATCCTGTTTTATCATGTGTTTTTTCCCATGTGGATTGCCATTTTGTTTCCAATTCCATTTATTGAATATCCTCTTCTTTGCCAACTGATGATATATTGAAGTTTGATTTGCACAAATGTCTCTCCTGTGTTTTAGTCTGTCAGCTTATCTGTTTCCATGCCAACTACCAAGTATTAACCAGGTAACTGCCATGTGTCCAAAATGGAAACCATCCCCACATGATTTTTTATTTTGAATTTAATTAAAAAAACCATTTTGCAATGAATATTATAAAAATAAACATATGACTCGCAATTTGGGTGTTCCTGAATATTTTCAGTTGAAAATTCACCTGAAAGAATGATTTTAAAGTTGGTCTGTAGATGCTTATGGCAGGCAGATGGTTAATACTACGTATACTTTTTATTCTTGATTATTGCAGTAATTTCCCAGGCAATCTGGGACATGATTACTCCACTTGTGAGCCATTATAAAGAATTTTGATTGGGAGCACATATGATGGGAAGTTATTGAAGAATACCCGTGGCCGAGTTGTACATTTTAATGATCACACTGGTGCAAGTCGGATGGGATGGGGGGACGGTGAGGGACAAGGCAAGAGTGGCGTTGAGGGGCCCAGTTAGGCTAGAGCTAGCGGGCAGGGGAGGGATGGCAGTGGTTTTGTAGTGACGGAGACGGGAGGTGTGGGAGGTAGGGCTGCCCGATGCGGTGAATACGCGGAGGGGGCGGAAGGTAGGCCTCCGCGGGATGTGTCTGGGGCCTGAACAGCGGGGCGGGTGGGATGCTGCTCCCGAGGTGCAAGGCCCGTCTGTAAGTTTATAAACTTCGCGGTGAATGACAGCCAGGGCCTGGAAACAGCTTTGTGGCTCTGAGTGCGCTCTTTCCTCCCCACAGGCGACTCCCTGCTGAAGAGCGCCACCAGGACCCTCCTGGAGTTCAACTCCACCGCGGACTGCGACGGCGGCGGGCGCGCGCGCCACAAGGTGCAGAGCAGCATCGCCTTCCTCTGCGGCAAGACCCTGGTGAGTCCGCGCCCCGCCCCCCTCCTGCCGCGGTCCAGGGTACAGAGCGGAAAAAGCGGAGAGCGCAGCAGATAGACAGACCCCCAGCCGAAATCGCCATCGCCGTCACGAGCCAATAAGTGAAAAACCCGAAGTCTGTAGTTACAACGTGCGGGTGAAACTCGATCCACATCCTGTGTGAGGCTACAAATCACAGTGATGGATGTGCTTAAACCCGAGCACAGTGTAATGTTTATTGCAGGCGCAGTTTCCCCCCCTTCTTCCCCAAATCTCTTCCCCCAGCATTTTATTTGGGAGTTTTTAGGGCAACGTATTTATTGTTTTAAATGTTTTTCTTTCCTCACATACATTAAACTGTAGCAATGGAGATCTGTGTAGGACAGCTGTTTTCAAAGGACGAGCGGCAGGAATGTTTAAAACATGCAGTACCTATGTGGTTGGGGGCACTGATCTCTTTTTCCATTATTAAAAAAAAAAAAATTAAAAAAACTAAAAAAAAAAAAAAAATGACAATAGCCAACACAACGATAGCTGTCCGGCATGAATGAATCAAAATTACACCAAATTTTTTTTTTTTGTCAGATGGACAAAAAAATGTATTGTCTGATGTGCCGCAGAACATCAGTAATTTGTTTATGTGCGTGTCATGAGATGAGGAACGTTGAAAATGGGGGAAGATTTTGCTAGCGTAGGCTTCCCATCCTTTTTGGGTATTCCTAGTGTTGAAAGGGGACATCATTGTTCAAAGTGAGATGTGTTCTTGCAGTCTCTCTATTGCATGGGATTTTAAAAATTTTAATCTTGAGTGGTTAGTGAGGGACTCAAAGTAAGTAATGGCTAGTTCTTAGGAAAAGCAATCGGTATGCAGATCCTGACAACACTCTCTCATCGGGGTAAGAGCCCAAGTACTGAGAAAAATCAGGGTGCGTGAAACTCATGTGGCCACCAGATTGCTTTAAAAAATTATTTTAGAATTTGCTGTGATTGCTGCATCCTCAGGCCCACACTGTATCAGCTCAAGAGTTTTTTAAAGATAGAACTTCCATGTTTGGACCAGCCTATCGGTTGCACTGCTGTCCATGTCGAAACCGTGGGAGGGAAGCCCATGTGCCGTTGTGTGAAACATGGAGGTGTGTGTTACTGAGCAGGCCAGCTCCTGCTTTCGTTTTAGCCGATTCCCTCCAAGAATTCTGAGTTCACCATGAGAGAACCAGAATTGTGGAGGCCTCCAGATTGGCACATGGGTAAATTCCCGCCAGGTCAGGCATCGCCCGGCAGCGCTGTGGCTAAGTTTGGCGTCTCCCCGGGTGGAGGCGTTGGGGGGGGTTGGGTGGAGGGGTGCAAGGGGGTGTGAGGGGGGGGGGTGGACTGAAGCGAGGCTGGCTGGGAGCTCAGCGGGCCTGGGTGGGCCTCCTCCCTCGCTGACAGGAAGCATGAGGTCACATTTCTGGCGTTGATTTTGTTGGCATGCGGCTGGAGAACATTTGGAGTGAAGGATCAGGCCCCGAGGACTGCTTCCCAGGAGTTTACTGTACTCGCATAGCTGGGGCAGCAGAACAGCCTTGGCCGATTCCCCCAGATTCCAGCGTGACTCCGTGAAGCCTTTGTCTCGGAGCCGCTGGGCTTGGGAACCGGCCGATGACCTTGTCCAACGGCAACGGCTGTGCTCACCCGCCCCGCTCGGCTGCTTTTAAACCGCCCGCTGGCGCTCCGCGCCGCCCGGGCACTGCCCGCGGAGGGTGACTCTGCTCTCCCCGCAGGGCACGCCCGAGTTCGTGGCCGCCGCGGACTGTGTGCACTACTTCGAGTGGAGGACCTCCGCCGCCTGCAAGAAGGACACGTTCAAAGCCAAGAAAGAGGTAGCCTCAAGGTCATGTGCTGGGAAAGTACATTCTGGGCCCTCCACACTGGAAATTCTGGTTTGGGCCTGACGGTTGTGCTGGGTGGTTCCCCGCCCAGGACAGGGCGCTCTCTCCACAGCCCTCAGGTGTAAAAAGGCCCCCACGCCAGCAGGCTCCATCCGGGTCTCCGGCGCCCGGCACCTCGGCGCTGAGGGACCCGGCGGAGCGGGGTGTGGTGTGTCCCCGTGCCTCCCGGGGCCGTCTCCGCCAGCAGCTCTGGGTGGCGTGTCCTGAGCCCTCCAGGTCTCCCCAGCTCTCCTCAGAGACCGGCTGGCTTACATTCCTTCCCTTCTTTCTTGGTCAGATCATTCTTTAAAAAAAATAAAAAATAAATAAATAAAAATTAGTTTCAGAGAGGAGGGGGAGGGAGAGGGACATAGAAACATTAATGGTGAGAGAGAATCATTGCTCGGCTGCCTTCTGTACATCTCCTACTGGGCATGGAGCCTGCAACTCGGCCTGTGCCCTGACCGGGAATGGAACCGTGACCTCCTGGTTCATGGATTGATGCTCAACCACTGAGCCACACTGTCTGGGCTGGTCAGGTCATTCTTGTTGGTCCACAAAATGTCCTGTTCCCTCGACTAGGGCCCCCAAAGGTGGCTCAGCCATGTGGCTTTCCCTGGCCACGGCGGAGAGAGAGGAGAGGAGGAGAGCGGAGCGGAGTGGCGCGGTTACACTCTTTCCGCCTCAGTCCTCCCGCCATCTGGGTCACCTGGACAGCGGTCTTCGTGGGCTGACCATTCTCTCTTTCTGCCATCGGTTGCCTGATCTGAGGGACAGAGTTCAGAGCCTTAGGAGCGAGGAACGGACTGATGGGAGTTGTTTTCACGGGTGGCTTACCGCCGTGTCGTTCCAGGAGGGCAGAAAGGGAGAGTCCGCTTTTAAAAAGCAAAGCCGGGACATGAGGAGTGGCAGTGACCACGGGCCTGCAGCACGGCAGTCCAGGAACGGGGACGGTCACAGGGCGTGGGGAGCCCACGCTGCTCTCAGGGGCAGCAGGAGGCTCGGGCAGCAAAGCCTCGCGTGTGGGAGGGAATCCGCCCCAGGAAATGTCCCCGCTCTTTGGGTTCGGTGTCGGTTCACACTGAATCGCACAGCGGACAGAGGGTGAGCCGTGGCAGGAGGAGCCTGGGGGCTGCTCTCCCTGAGACCTCCACCTCCACCTCCCCTGCTCCCTGAGCCCCGGGGCCCCTGCTTTCCTGCCCCTGCCGAGGCCTCTCCCTCGCTCTCCTGGGCTGGGAGAAGCTTCCCGATGAAAGGAGGGAAGAAGGGGCAGCTTGTTCCCCTCGGCTGGGCCGGTGTGGCGGGCGGGCGGGGGGGGCGCACGCGCAGCGCGGCCCGGCCCCGGTGTGTTTGCACAGCCCAAGGCGCGGAGACAAAGAGGAGTGCAGGCAGAGCCTACGTGACGCGCTGGCATGTTTGCTCTGTGGCCTTTGCAGCAGACGGTGCCCTGCTCTGAATTCTTCTCGGGGCGGAGGGGGAGGGCCAGCTGTTTTTCCTCAAAACACTGACATTCAATTTCTCCTCCGAGGGGGCCTGAAGGTGCAGGAGAGACGTTGCAGTCCGCTCTCTGCTCGCCTCGGGGCTGGGGGGGCAGCTGGGCTGGATCCCACTGGTGTCCAGGCGGGGAGGGGGGTGGGGGGCCCCACAGGAGGAATTCCTACGCTCTATCCATTGAGCCAAACCAGTCTCGGCGAATTCCTAGCATTTTGAAAGGCTTCTTGCTTTCGGGGGCCCGGGACTGAAGGTCCGGAGGGCGGCGCGTCCCCTGCCGGCACCTCGAGGGAGGATGGGGAGCATGTGGCGCTGCGGCAGTGGCCCCTGGTCACCGTCGAGCACCCCGCTTTACCAGTCCACCTCGGGGGGATGGATCCCGCTGACCAGCTGGGGTGCGACTCCAAATGTTGTTAAAACACTCAGCGTTTCTTTTCATTTAAATTTTCATGGTGGAAAGTGTTACATTTGTCTCCTTTCCCCCCAAGGACCTCTCCCTGGTTGCTCCGCCCCAGCACCCGCCCTGGCCCCCTCCGCTCGGTGTCCCCTGGTTGTGCTTGTCCCATGCACATGGCACCCAGCAGCCAGCACCTCTTAAGGGAGAAACCCGCTCAGCCCAGGTTGTGGCCGCCACGATTGCCGCACCTCGCGCGCATTTCCCGGTCTCTGTCTGTGCTGCTCTGAGGCCAGATCACGGCAGTGCTCCCTGCCTCCCACCACGGCCGCCCTGGGCCCGAGCAGGGGACCCGGGAGGGTGTTTTTAAGATTACAGTTTCTCCAAAGTGCCACGGCCCCCTCCCCGGGCGCGGGAACACAGGGCACTCAGACGCAGCCACACAGGCCCCGCTAACATACGGCGAACAAGGTCCACTCAGTGTGCGGAGGGCCCCTCCCCCGGCCGCCGCTCATGAATGTCTCCATTGCTCCGCGCCCGGGCAGGAAGCGGAGGCCTCCCCCAGGAGCGCTGTTTTCCGACGCGCACTCCAGCTCTGTGGGCGCCGCAGGGCGGGCCCATTCCTTCCTGGCCGCGCCGCCGTGGCCGGCTGCCTGGAGCGGGGGTCTGGGCGCCGGCCTCTCCCTGGGGTCCCTCCGGCCCGTCCAGAGCGGCGGGCCTCGCACACGTGGCCGTCCAGCCTCCCTGCCTCCCCGGGGCCGCTGCGCCTCGCTTTCCCAGGCCTTGGTTTTGCAGCCGGAGACAGACACACACACACACACACACACACACACACACACACACACACACGGTGACGGGCTGCAGGGGGACCTGCCCGTTAATTTGGGTAATTTCTGAAGCGCAGGCCCGGCCTCTCGGCAGGATGTAGCCGGGGCCTGGCGTCCGGCCCTCTGAGTCACGCTGTCCCGGACCAGATGTGCCAGCCCCGTGCTTGTCAGCGGATCTCCCGTCATGGGAGGCCGCGCCGGGGCCCTGGCCGGGCCGCGAGGGGGCGCGCGCTGCCGGGTCAGCCCACGCGCTCTCCGCGAAACCTCGGGGAGCGGCGGGAAGAAGGTTAGTGGGTCAGAGCGTTCCTGCAGGCCCGATAGCATCTTTCCAAGAAAGATCTGAAAGCTAAACACGAGGCGGTTACCGTCCCGAGCAGACCCGCCCGCGCGTGAACGCTCCGTCGTGAGCGCCTGAGTCCCAGAGTGAGGGAGCGAGCCCCCTGAAGTGATGGCCGAGTTCCTCCGCCCGGCGGTGGCGGGGTGCCGGGGTGTTTTTTTTTTTTTAAATAAGACTCACAGGGTTTCAGAGGCAGACCTGGCAGGAGGCGGTGCTGTCTGGGTGACCAGGGCCTTGGTGGGTCTTGCACGTGTCTGGGCGCCATGCTCTCTGCTGGAGAAGCGGGAGCTGTGTGGTCCGGGGACGGGCATTCCAGGAAGATGTCAAGTTCCACGGCCGAGCAGCCCCTGGAGGCCCCCGGAGGCTGCGTCCTCAGGTTGGAGGGGACTCAGTCTTGGTGTGGTCCGAGCAGAGTGTGTGACCTGAGGCAGGGCGTGTGCAATCCGGTTGGAAGGTGTGTGTGGAACCCTGACGCTCTCCTCTCTCCCAGGTGCCCTGCTATGCATTTGATAGCGAGTTCAAGAAGCACGACCTGAGCCCCCTGATCAAGCTCAGCGGCGCCTACTTGGTGGATGACTCGGACCCGGACATATCTCTGTTCATCAACGTTTGCAGAGACATAGGTCTGGGCCTGGGGGGGCGTGGGCGAGGGGTGGGGATGTGTCCTTGTCTTTGCCCTCCGCCTGCGGTCACCTGCCGGGAGCCGAGTGGCCATGAGGCCTCCGAGATCGCGCTTGTCCGCACGACGCCTCTGTGCGTGCACAGCCCCCCTCCCCCCATCCTCACGTGTTCCCTCCACACTGCGAGTCCAGCCCATGTGCTCTCTGCCTGACACTCGGGTCTCCAGATTCTCAAGTGAATCTCACTTCCGGTGAGACGGGGCTGTTGGGAGGGGATGGATTGATTTGTGTGGCGCTGAGCGCAGCGGGAGGAAATGGCTGGAGGAAATGGAGTTTCTGGCCTTGCATTTGCTTTCAGTCCCCCAGGGGCTCTCATCATGAGGCCCGAGGCCGGCGGTCCGTGTCCTCCCCAGCATCTGTGACCCCTCAGCCCCGCGAGGAGGCTCAGGGGCTGGGAAGCCAGGCGGTTAGGTCAGAGGTGTCGCAGAGGTCAGCGGTGAACCCAGGACTGGAGTCCAGAGCCATCTGTGGGTTCTCTCTCGAGTCGACTGGTCTTCAACAGACCTGGGCGTCCCTGCCTCTGCTGGTCTGTGGACGGAGCGGGGGCGTGCTGGAGTTAGCGTGTCCGAGGAGGAGGGGGCACGTTCCTCAAGGGCAGCGCACGGAGGGCCCTGCTCAGCGGGCGCCTCCACGTGCCAGGTGGGGCGAGTGCCTGCATTCCTCCCCGGCACGCACGCGCCCGCAGCCCCGCAGGTGGGGCCCGCTCCCTCCCCCTCCACGCCCAGGCAGGTCACGGAGTCCAAGGTCCCAGAATGGAATGTGTCCAGGCTTCTCCCTCACGTTACTGACGGGGAATTTGAAAATGTTGATCTTTTTTTTTTTTTTTTTTTTTTTCTTTTCTTTCAAGGGACCTTGGGCCCGAGGGTACGTGTGCGACCCTTGGAGGCTAACCCACGTCCCGGTAATGTTTTCCAGACTCGCTCCGGGGCCCCAGCCCGCAGCTGCGCGCCTGCCCCCCGGGCACCGCCGCCTGCCTGGTGCGCGGGGGCCAGGCCTTCGACGTGGGCCAGCCCAAGGAGGGGCTGAAGCTCGTGAACAAGGACAGGTCAGTGAGCAAGGACAGGCCAGCGTGCTCGGGCGGGCGGGGGGCAGCCACCCCCCTTGGCAGGACCCTGGCTTTGTAGTTTTGCAAAAACCATGGCTTCCCACATGCCTGCTGAAGCACTAGTCATCGCGGTGAGTCACCGAGGCTGGCTGACTGCTAATCACCGTCTCCCTGGCAGCAAGGACGTGGGCCGGGATGTACGCACGGGGCCGCCTCATGTGACGGCTCTGTGTGACAGCTCCCCGCAGGTGTGCCTGACGCTGGCCATGGCAGGTCCCCGTGCCGTTCACCCTGCCCACCCTTATCTGCTCCTCAGACACAGCATCCTGCAGGGAGAGGGCAGGAAGGGCAGTGTGCTGGCTCCCTGCCAGGGCACGGGGCCTGCTTCCTGCCGGGGCTCCGGCCCCCCAGGCCCCTCAGCGCCCCCAGCCAGCCCCTCCCCCCCAGGCCCGGTGCTTCATTCCGCATGATAAGATGTGCTGCTTGCACGTGTTCTTCCGCCTCTGCGCCTGAGTTGCCATGGAGACGCTTTCCTCCATGGGCACACGTGACTGCGGCTGGTGCTGGGGTGGAGGGTTTGACGGCCCCCCCGGTGGCAGGCCCTTGATGGACACCTCGTGGGCTGCCTGCGTGGAGCTATGGCTCATCAGCCTGCGATTACAGATCGCCTGCGGAAGTGGATGATGTGAAATGGCGGGGAGGCGGCTAGGTGTGTGTGCGTGGGCGTGCAGGGCCGCTGTGAGCAGAGCTCCATGGCCCTCAGCTCTCAGCTCGGAGGCCGGCCATCCAGGGCAATGGAAGGCTGTTTGTCCCTCGGCCTCTCTCCGTGTGCGGGCGGCCATCTTCTCCCTGTGCCAGTCTCCTCTTCTTCTAAGCACACAGTCCTGTCTCATGAGTGCCCACCCCGGTGCCCTCGTCCAGATTGCCTCGTTGAATACCTCCTCCCCAAAGACGGTCACAGCCGGGGGCTGGGTTAGGGCTTCCGAGAGCTGGGGGAGGGAGGAAGCCACGCAGCCCGCACGCCGTTCTGCGTGAGGAATGGGGGATTCTCCGGACCCGGGACTTTGTGGGAAGCGGGCGCTGAACAAAAGCCTGAGCGTGCCTTCAGAGGCCGGCGGCCCCTGTGTCCGGCGTTCCATGGGGCTCCCGGGGGTGCGGGCGAGGCCCTGGTGAGAGACCCCCGCCCTCGGGCGGCCTCCCCCCGCGGCCAGCTGGCCCGCACGCTCCGCGACCTTCAGGTGCAAGGACGACCTTGGCCCGCACGGGGCCTCGCTGTTGGGAGAGGAAGTGGTCGTGCAGGCTGTGGCGGCCACGGCTTGACCTGCTCAGCTGTGTTTGTTTGGTTTTGTTAGAGTGTAATGTTTTTTGTTTGACTCAAACAGCTTTTCTTAGTATTTAAATTTACACGTTGCTCGTTTTATTTGTTTTTTAAAGAAAATAGCACTAAATTGAAGTTTACTTTTAAATTTATTTTCCTTCCCCACATGGAAATGAATTAAAGCGGGCCAGTACGGCTTCGTTTAGATTTTAACTTTCAGTCTCCAGTGCCCCGAAGGAAAGCTCGGGGCTGGGTTAGTGTGAACGAACGCCTTTGATTCGGGAGAGACCCTTTGTAACTCCCGACTCTGTGGCCTCCAGGCTGGTCCTGACCTACAGCAAAGAAGAGGGAGTGAGGCCGGACTTCTGTGAGGGCCACAGCCCGGCCGTGACCGTCACCTTCGTCTGCCCGTCGGAGCGCCGCGAGGTGAGCCGCCTGCCGGGCTGCCGGGAGCGGGAGCGGGGCCGGGGCCGGCCGGCCGGGCGGACTGTGGGAGAATGTGCTTCCCGGGATGGCCGGGCGGGCGAGGCTCTCAGCCGCCTCGAGGGCCCTGGGTGCTGACTGAGATGGGTCTTTGCTCTGCTGTCGTGGGGGACGATTCTGATTGGTCCGGGGGCAGATTCTAAACGTTTCCATAGCTGTGCTGACTGGAGTGGGTTTTGAAAAACCATCCCTACAACCCCAAACCCGTGGCTTCACGGCCCTCATTGTTTGGGGATGAAACCAGGTAGAAGCAGCTGATGAGTCTGCAGAAACGCTCAGTGCAGATGCCGTGCGGACCCGGGAGGCTCCCTCCGTGCAGGGCTTTGGGGGTTCCACCTTCTGGGGGTGGAGGAATGGGCCTGGGGAAGGCCCCCCGGGCTCACAGGGGAGCGGTCACCCTCCGGCCTCCCCCCGCGGAGCTGCCAGCAGCCTGGTTGCCGTGTCCTCTGGCTGTTTACGCAGCCAGCACAGCTGTAAACTCCGGGAGGGTAGGGCGGTCTGGGTTGTCCTTGGCCAGTGCCCAGTGGTGTTGCATGCACGTGTGGCTGCGAAGTGTTTTAGCAGATGTGGGTGCCGATGGACGGGAGACAGCCCGGAGGAAGGGCAGGGCTTCCCCCTGATTTATTCCTGTCTCCTCCGAGCGGAGGGGACGGGAGGAGGGAGTGCTCGGCCAGGGAGCTTTGCTCCCCTCCCCCCAAATAAACGTGGAATGTGCCGTGGCAGCCGGCCAGCTTTGTGCGCTGGGGTATGGGGACAAAGGTTCAGTCCCGGCCGGCTTTCCACGTCGGGTCCCCAGACTCCCAGGGCCCGCGGTGGCAGCTCCCAGGGGACCTGCCTGGCCGCCCCGGGCCCCACGTCAGCTCTGAATGCGAGGTGGAGGGGCTCTGATTTATTCCTTCCGTCCGTGCCTACGCATGGGAATGGAAACCTTCTCAGGCCCGGAGCCGCCGTGGGGCCACGGGCTCACAGCCCCCCTCGTTCGCACTGCATGCAGTGAGGACCTGTGCGCTGGGCGAGGAGGGGGCGGCCCCTCCCCGCCGCCCCTCCCGCCCTCTCCTCCGGTCCCGAGGGGCTGGTTTGCTGGGAAGGGAGGGAAGGGCTCGCTGCCTTTTCGCGCGGGCCGCACTCGGGTTACATGCGGGGCCTCAGCCTCGAAGGTGTGCTTGGCGTTCGTGCCGCTGGCTGCATGCTTCCGGGGCCGGGAGTCTAGTCAGTGTGAGCCTCGTAGGTTTCGGTAGCAAAGCCTAGCGAGCGCGCAGACGGCAGAAGCCCCCGCTGTAAGCACAGGAGCAGAACTGTGCAGCCAGTGCCCCGTCTGATGCTCGGACGTGTCCATCACCCGACAGAGCCCTGTGTGGCCACTGCCCACCCCCTCCCCAGCCCGGCAGCCCCAGTCCATGGACGTGCCTCTCTGGTGCCCGTCCAGGGCCGTGACCGCACACTGTGCACCTCTGTGTCCGACCCGCCCAGTCAGACAGACGGAGCTCCCAGTCAGACACTCGGAGCCGGACGGCCCCTTCGCAGCTTATCCATCACATGACCGTGTTTGCACGCCCGCACGGAGGACTGTGCCGGGCACATTGCAGAGCTCAGAGTGGCGCCCTGCCTGGTGTGGGCAGCCTACGCTCCCGGCGACGGTTACCGACGGCACTGCCCTCTGGGAGCAGGGGCCTCCCAGTCCCTGTCCCTGTCCCACCACAGCTCGGCCAGAGCTCCGTCTGCGGGGCAGGGCCCCCAGGCACGATGTGTGGGTGAGGCCCGTCCCTGGGGCAGTCAGGAGAGGGGTTCAGGGCGGGCTCCCTGGAGGCTCCCAGGCACAGCGATGCCCACGCATCTTGGGGTGGAGGCCCTGGCCCGGGCTCCCCAGCGCTTCTGAGGGAAAGTGCTGCTGCCGAGGCCGTGGGTGACGCGGTTCAGGGTGCGCTGGCCGAAGCCTGAGTGTGACCCTGACGGGGTCGTGGAAGTCAGAGAATCCAGACGCGTCCAGGCCGCTGAGGACGCTGCGCAGGAATGGGAAAACGTGAAACCAGCCCCTGCCTCCCGAGGCTTCAGAGCGGGGAGCCTGTGTTCAGGCTGCACGCTCACCTTCCCAAACCCTTTCCACAGGGCACCCTCCCCAAGCTCACGGCCAAGTCCAACTGCCGCTACGAGGTGGAGTGGGTGACCGAGTACGCCTGCCACCGCGAGTACCTGGAGAGCAGCAACTGCTCCCTGAGCAGCGCCCAGCACGACGTGGCCATCGACCTGGGGCCGCTGCGGCAGGCCCGGGGTGAGCGGCGGGGCGGGGGTGGCTGGGGCGGGGGTGAGCGGTGGGCGGTGGGGGGGTGAGCGCCGGGGGCGGGGGGTGGCCGGGGCTGGGGCTGGGGGCCGCGGCGGGGGCCGGGGGCGTGGGAGAGAGAGGCCCGGGCCGTGGGAGCGGCGTGAGGCTCCCCCCGCGGCCCTGGCGCCCGGGCCTGGCTCATGCGCTCCCCCTCCCCAGGCCGGTACACTGCGGATGGGAAGGAGTACGTTTTTTATTTGAACGTCTGCGGAGAAGTTGAAGCCGCCCCAAAGGCCTGTAATGAGAAACAGGCTGCGGTTTGCCAAGCGAAGAAGCCTGATTTCACTCAAGTCAAAGTGGCAGGAAAATTCCAGAGCCAGACTCTCCGGTGCGTACGCCGCCTTCCCGCGCATTGTGTCTGTTCCTGTAAAACCCGCCCCGCTTCCCGTGGCCCTTCCTCCTCGCCCGCAGGCCGGGGGGCCTCTTCCTGCGGGACAGTGCGATGGCCCGTAAAGGCTGTCCGCTCCGCGGCCATTGTTCGGAGGGACCGCGCTGTAGGAAACGCACTTGATTAGTTTACAGTGGAGGTGGCTTTTGTCCTTAAAAACTTATCTTCCCTCGCTTCCCGCTTCCCGTGGTCTCTGGCCCTTGGAGGGTCAGAGATGCCGGGAGCATAACGTAAAGGTTTAAACAGCTGAGCAAACACACCCAGCCAGGCCCGCGCCCCCTGACCCGGGGGTCCTCGGTCCTGGCGACGGGAGATGCGTGGTCCCGGCCGCGGGGAAGGCCCCGATGGAGGTGGCGCAGCCTGCCTTCCCCTCGAGGGAAACGCTCGCGGCCGTGGTTCGTCTCGTTGGAAACCTGAGGGGGAAGGAGGAGAGCGAGCAGCGGGCAGGCCCGGCGAACCTTGGGCGCTGTCCCGCCGCCGAGCGGCCTTGAGGTCCCAGGGCGATGCGCGTCCCTTTGGAAGTCATTTCCTCTCGCCGTTCTCCCCAGCTGGCGAGCGGGGCTGATCCGCGTCAGCTCCGAGTTGTCGGGCATGCGGGGCTCCGTGGAGGGAGGTTTGCGAATGCAGGTTCCCCGGGTTCTGCTGAGCACACGTGCGTGTGTTTGCCAACAGGTACTCGGACGGAGACCTCACCCTCATCTACTTCGGCGGCGACGAGTGCAGCTCCGGCTTCCAGCGCATGAGTGTCATCAACTTCGAGTGCAACGAGACTGCAGGTGGGCGTCCCCCCCCCCCTCCCCCCCCGCCAGGACGGGTGTGCCCGCGGTGGGTGCTTCGGGCACTGGAGTTCCTGGGAGTGGAGTGCTTAGTGTCCCCAGCCAGGCCTCAGCCCCAGCCAGCGACACGCATCCTGTCCCTCCCCCCCTGTTTGCTTTGGGACGGAGGCTCTGCCTTGGGTTCCACGCTCACCAGCCGGTGTGGTTCCCCCAAGGTGGATCTGCTCACCGACCCCTCTTCTTGTGCAAACTGAGGCTCAGGGGGCCCTTTAAGATGGCGGCCCCGTGATAGCGACTGGATTTTGGGATCCCAGGAGGTTGCGGGGCAAGTTTGGTTTTTCCGAGCGATTAGGATACGCCTCCTTTTTAAAAATTCATTTTTGTTGACTTCAGGGGTCAAGGGAGAGGGCGAGAGAGATGGAAGCATCAGTGATGAGAGAGAGTCTTTGATCGGCTGCCTTCTGTGCACCGCCTACTGGGGATCAAGCCTGCAACCAGGGCGTGTGCCCTGACCAGCTTCCTAGGTTGAGCTCAGCCACCGAGCCCGCTGCTGGGCAGGGCAGCTCCCGTGTGGTCACCGTCTGTGTCTGCAGAGGAGATGATCCCTGGTCCTCAGGGAGCCGGCATGTCTGTTGACCTCCAGGCGGTGACCCCAAGCGTCCCACAGGCCGGCCCCGCCTCTGCACCTGGTGCTGGCTCTGGAGCCGCCTCCCCACCCCCCCCGAGGCCGCCAGCCCCGGCCCTCCGGCCCCGCACGCAGTCAGTCCTGTATGTGTGTGTGGCAGCGTCCGCCACTCGGTCGTGGGCAGGTTTCGACAAGGTTCGCTGTGGAGTCCGGGATGTGACGTGTGTGTGATGGGAGTGGGACCCCGAGAGCCGACCTGGGGCTGAGGAGCCGGGAAGAGGGGGTGAGCAGGACCGAGCTCCCGTGAACCGCCAGCGGCCCCAGAGAGGGGTCTGGTGCAGCCCTTCCTCCTGCTGCCCCTCGTGCCCATCAGTCCGCCCCACACGCACCTCACTGACCGTGGAGATGGGGGCCAGCCCTGTCTAACGTCCATGCTCGCCGGGAGCCACTCAGCACGCGAGTGTTTGTTCTTGCTGGTTTGTTCTGGTGAGGCGACGGACACAGGACCCTCGAGGCGCCCCCAGGCCAGGAGCCGAGGGGGAGGGAACAGCTGGTGTGAGGCAGGGTGCCTGGGGGCCCGGGTGGGTGCCGTCACCCGTGCCGTCACCCAGAAAGAACCCCACTGAGAGGGTGGCCCTGAGCCCGGTCCGCGATGTGGGAGCCCAGGAGGGAGGCGGGGAAGGAGACGAGGCTGCCTGGGAGCCGCAGGAGGGCAGGCGTGAGCCGCGCAGAGCAGGGTGCTGTGGGCGCTGGTGGCAGAACAGCTCACCCAGCCAGGAATCAGCCTCGGTGAGCAGCGCCAGGGGTATATTTAGCCTGCGGCTGGAGATGACCCTACAAGCCCGCGTCCTGCGGGGGAGGTGACGTGACCCGGGAGAGAGTGTGGGCGACATGGCTCTGCAGGCTGTGAGCCCTCCACCTGGTTCCTACGCCCTCTGCCCTCTCAGGTCCCCTGTCTCCATCGACTCCCCTTCCAGCTTCACAGGAGACCCTCTGCGGCCCCCTGCCCTCTCCCCTCCCCACCCCCGGGAATGCAGCCTGCCGCTATCTGTGTCCAGATTCTCAGGCACTCGGTGTCCGGCCCCTTCCCCAGCCGGGCCCCCAGCTCCCCTCTGGCCGCTGTCTGCCGTGGGTGACTCCTGGGTCCAAGTCTCCCTCCCTGTGATCACCTCCTGGCCTGGCTCTGGGCGCTTACACATGGCTTGGCGAGGTCTCTGGGAGAGCGCTGATCTCATCCGGGCACGCGGGGAACCAGAGCCGCGTCCAGAAAGGCCCCGCGGAGGAGGCGGAGGTGGAGCAGGCGGAGGCCCACAGCTGGGGTCCACGGGAAGGGGTGTGGCCGTCGGTGCAGATGGGCCGAGGCGTGAACAAAGGCCGCAGGCCCCTCTTCCCTCCTCACGTTCTTATCGTGAAGCGTTTCCGCGAGAAGGGCCATTGCGCGAAGGGAAGCCATTCCCCGCCACCTGGTCTGAGGGTCCTCCCCGGGTGCCCGTTTGCTGCATAGAAACCACAGTCACCGATGGGACACAGCCCCACTCCACCTCGGTCTGACGGGTAGCAGGCCCTCATGCCAGCAGCTCTGTCTCCCGGCCCTTCTCGTGGCCACGGTGGGCAGGAGGCCGCGGGGAGACGCTGGCTGCTCTGGGGGTTTCGGGCCCGCGCCTGGCGGTACCCGGTGCCCGCTCCCTCACTGTGCACGCTGTAACACATTTCCTCGTCGCCGTGCCGCATCCGTGCTGGGAGGTTGGAGAAAAGTCCCAGATGGGCTCTGCTCACTGGTAACTGTGACCGCAGAGTTCTGCCCGTGGACGGCTGTTAACTGGCTCCGTGTATAACGTGGCTTTTAATCTAACTTGGAGCTCCACGAATTATTTATGCTTATGGATCTATGGCCATGCACACTCTTCATACGTTTACCATTTTCTCTGTAATGTATTTTGAGCCATTGGTTTCAATAACTGACGTCTCGTTTGCCGTAATAGGATACCGTGTTTTTGTCAAATAAGGGCCCTAGATCAGATTTTTCGGGAGGAGTCATATATAGGAGAGGTTAGTAAGAAATCTATAAACGGAAGGACTCATCGCCCTACAGGCTGATTTTCTTCCGTGAGTTCTCGCCATTGCGGGGCCTTTGTGCCCCCGTGCTGTGCGGCTGCTGTGCCCACGTGGCCCCCGAGGACCCTGCAGGAGGGAGGGAGCAGCCGCTCTTAAGGGGCCCGGGCACCTTCCACGCAGGGGGCTGGGGAGCGAGCTGAGCTGTGAGCCCCGAAGGAAAGGGACCCCGGTGGGGAGGAGCAGCGCTGCCTTATCACAGAGAAATGGAGGAGTGGGTGCTCCCCTGGAGAAACCTCTCCCCCCAGCCGGTCACGGAGTCCACACGCTGGGAGTCATGTACATGCCGAGCTGGGAGGGGTCTGGAGGGGGGAACCAGGACCCGGGGATTGACAGCGAAAAGCTCGTACACGTGCTTGCCCACCGCTCCCCCAGCAACCAGAAGAGGCCTGGGAGGGGGGCTGTGGCTGACTGCCCTAAAAGGGTCTGAGGCCTGAAATGAGAAGGATGCACCCCACTGGTTATACAGGGCCCCCCCAGATCCTGCAGATGCACCCCCTGGTTATGTGGGCCCCCCAGGTCCTACAGATACTGGTTATACAGGGCCCCCTATATCCTCGGCGCGTTTCAGATGCAGAGCCCGCTCTGCGGGGGTGGGGGATGGGGTGGGGTGGGGGCTGGGGGAGGTGGGGGCTGGTTGGGGGTGGAATGGAGCCTGTGTCCTGAGCTGATGAAGGACACCAGCGGTTCTAGGAAAAGAGCTGTTTTCCAAGGAGAGGGTGAGTCAGCGCTGCCAGGCGGGGGAGGATGCGTGGGCGGCTGCTCCAGGCCGTGGACGCGGCGGGCGGGCAGGCGGGCGGGCGGCTGCGTGCTGTCTGCAAGGAGGGAGGAGGGGGTGGCGGTGCTCCTTGGAGAGAAGAGACAGCTTCCACGCACTTTGAAAAGGGGGAGACGGGGAGAGGGGACATGGCCGCCACAGCACGAGGCAAGGCGAGGCGAGGCAAGGCAGCCTTGCTGTGCTAACAAGTGTCTGGGTTTGATTCCTGGCTCCTCGGCTCTAGCTGTGAAACCATAGGCAAATTATGTAGCTGCCCGAACCTAGTAAACGGGCTGGAATTGTACCTGTGCCACGGTTCCCAGGACTGAGCACGCCAGGTTTTATAAAGTGCTTAACTCGGCCTGTTCCTGCAGCCAGCCCCCCCCCGGCACACGCAGAGCCTGCCCAGCAACTGGCTCCGAGCGTGCGCAGAGCGGGGCAGCTGCTGGTAGCATGACTGTGCTGTTTGTCATATTAAATGCTTAATAGGAGCTGCAGTGAAACCGTTTTCCCTGGGCTCGGAACTCATTTCCCTTTCCTGGAGAACTGCGCGGTGTGGGCACAGCCACAGGGGGGAGAGGGGGGCGGGGAGGATTGCTAACCCGCCTGATGCCAGCGCCCCCCAGCCCCCCAGCCCCCCAGCCCCCCAGCCCCAGGGGCCAGGGGGAGGATTCGGCACAGCTCGCCGACCCCCCAGCTCTGTGGACGGGGTGGGGGTGGGGGCTGGCTTCCTGGGCAGAGTCGAGCTGAGGGGCTCCTGGCTGGGAAACGGGGGGAGGGGGCTCCTGACGGGGTAGTCAGCAGACTGCAGATGCGAGCAGGGTGTGGGAGACACGTACGCATGCGGTCCCCAGAATGACGGGTGCTGGCGCCACCTGGAGGCCAGCCTGCAGCTCTGCACGGTGCCGCCCACGGCTGCTGCAGTGGGGGGATGTAGGAAGGGTCCCCGGTCTGCTGTCAGCCCCAGGGAACTGGTCTTGCCCACTGCGACACCCCCAAGCCCGGGGCACTCCTGGGGCAGCTCTGGCCGCCCCCCCCTGTCTGGGGGTCTGGTCTGGCCCAGCGGCTGGCGGAGCCGAGCTGACCACAGGCCTGTTAGCACCCTTAGGGCCCCATCCAGTGAGTCAGCAGCCTGTGTCCCACCGAGATGAAAGGGGTGCAGGGTGCTCTGAGGGTCCGGGTGAGCCAGCCTCTGCTCTCATCTCTGCCCTCTGACCGGCTTGGGGGCTGCGGTTTCTTTATGCTCAGCTGCGTCTGGGCTGCTGGCTGCTGGTGACCGGTCTGCTGTGTCCCTGTGTCTTCCCTCGCTCCTTCAACATTCCTGGGTTTGGGCACACAGGGGGTGTGTGTTTGTCTTTAATGCATTTCCGTTGTCCACAGTATTACAGACCTCTGCCATTTCCGCCTCCCCTCCCCCAGCGCCTCCCCGCACCCAGGCCTTCCCCGCCTGTTGCCTGCCCAGGAGCAGGCATTTAAGGCTACACGTTCTGGGCTTGTCTCCTCTCATCCCCACGTGGAGGTCTGTCCGTCCGCGAGGACTGACTGCCGGCCAGTCCGTGTGTTCCGTGGTCGGCGGCGTGCTTTATCTTCCCTTCCCATCGCACAGGCAACGGCGGCAGAGGCACGCCCGTGTTCACCGGGGAGCTGGACTGCACCTACTTCTTCACCTGGGACACGAAGCACGCGTGCGTGAAGGAGAAGGAGGACCTCCTGTGCGGCCTCACCATCGGGAAGCAGCGGTATGACCTGTCCGCTCTGGCCCGGCACGCAGGTAGGCACCTGTGCGCAGGGAGGGCCCTGTGCCGGCAGGGAGGACTCATTGTGCTCAGGGAGGACTCTGTGCCCTCAGGGAGGACTCTGTGCCGGCAGGGAGGACTCATTGTGCTCAGGGAGGACTCTGTGCCCTCAGGGAGGACTCTGTGCCCTCAGGGAGGACTCATTGTGCTCAGGGAGGACTCTGTGCCCTCAGGGAGGACTCTGTGCCCTTAGGGAAGACTTTGTGCAATCAGGGAGGATTCTGTGCCCTCAGGGAGGACTCTGTGCCCTCAGGGAGGACTCTGTGCAATCAGGGAGGACTCTGTGCCCTCTGGGAGGATTCTGTGCCCTCAGGGAGGACGCTGTGCAATCAGGGAGGATTCTGTGCCCTCTGGGAGGACTCTGTGCCCTCTGGGAGGACTCTGTGCAATCAGGGAGGATTCTGTGCCCTCAGGGAGGACTCTGTGTCCTCTGGGAGGACTCTGTGCCCTCGGGGAGGACTCTGTGCCCTCGGGGAGGGCCTTATGCCCACAGGTATGCCTCGTGCCGTGTGCGTGTTGGGGCTTATTTTCCCGTCTCTTTCCCGAACATTTGGAAGGACTGTCATTGTGTCCGTTGCCACCGCATCCAGTGTGGCCGGGCCCTCCTCACGTGGCGGCAGGACCGGTGAGCAGTGGCACTGACACAGGGCAGGTGTCAGAATTTGAGGTCGGCATCACTGTTTTCCACTCGGGGCATTTCCAGCTCATCTTGTCATGTTTCAGTAAAAACTGCCAGTGCCTACTGTGTGTCAGGCCTTGGGCTTCGTTATTAGAAACTTAAAAAAAATCCTCACCCAAGGATATTTTTCCCATTGATTTTTAGAGAGTGGAAGGGAGGGAAGGAGGGGAGAGAGAGAGAGAGAGAGAGAGAGAGAGAGAAACATTGACTGGTTGCCCCCCACGTGCTCCCTGACTGGGACCAGGGATTGAACCTGCAACCCGGGTACGTGCCCTTGCTCAGGAATTGAACCTGTGACTCTTTGGTGCAAGGGCCGACACTCTAACCACAGGGCAACACTGGCCAGTGCGAAACTTATTTATTTTTAACTTAAGCTCTTGTTGCTGAGAGAGTAGATCTTCCACGTTCCCATCGCGATTGTGACTGTGGTGAGAGGTGTTCCCTCAGCTCACTGCGTCATCTCAGCATGTCCACGTAGCACAGTGGTCCTCGGCCTTCCTGACGCCGCGGCCCTTCAGCACCGTCCCTCATGTCCTGGTGACCCCAGCCATCACCTCACTGGCGCTGCTCCTCCATAGCTCTGATTGGCTGCTGCTAATGACCCACAGGTTGAGAACCGCTAGCAGGGTTGCCCGAGACCATCGGAAAACACAGATATTGACATTACGATTCATTAACAGCAGCAAAATACAGTGACTCACGGGGAACAGTCGCTGCCTTTGACCAAAGAAGCCTCTCCCTATTTTCTCGCAGAACGGGAACGGAACTGGGAGGCCGTGGGTGGCAGCCAGAAGGGCTCCGAGAAGAAGCAATTCTTCATCAACATCTGCCGCCGGCTGCTGCCCGAGGGCCCGGCCCGGGGCTGCCCCGAGGAAGCGGCTGCGTGCGCTGTGGGTGAGTGCGGGCCGGCGCCCAGGGCGGGTGCGAGCTGGGAGGCCTCCTGGGGGCGCACCGCTCCGATCTGCACTCGGCACCGAGGCGGGTGAGGACATGGGGTGATGGCAGCAGCCACGGCACACGGGGCGGGGACGGGCCTGCAGTGGCCAGCCCGTGGCCGGAGCGGAGAGAACCTGCTGAAAACACTTGATCTGTTCGCTGTGGAAGAAGCACATGGCTAGTCCTTGTGCAAAACAGATGTTGATCCTTTTAACAGCTGGACCACTCGGCTTTTCTAACGTTGTGGCGGAAGGCGATGGCACCTTACGCTGTGGCCTCCGTCTGAGAGCGCTGTCCCGGCCCTTCCGCTGGGCTGGGTGCCCGGCCGACACGCCCTGGATGGGCGCGTGCATGTGGCGTGTTAGTGTCCCTTAGGGTTCACCTTGACAGTGACTGGCAGGGGGGTCACTCGCATCTGTTACACGTGTGACGCGAGGAGTCATGAGCCCCAGTGGGTGTCAGGCGTCACCCCCCTGGTCTGAGCAGGTCCAGGCGTGGCCTTTACTTAAGGACGTGGCTGGAGGTTCAGAACCTGATAGTAAAGTAAACACCAACCAGACCACGATTCCGTGGCCACCGTCTTGGCTGGCCGAAAAGGCTCAGTTACTCTCTAGCCCCCTGGCTGTGCCGCTCAAAGCTCTGTATCTCGGGGCCACTGAGGCCCCAGAATGCGGGAGCCGAGTTGTTTGATGCAGGGGCGGGGCCACATGGGTATTTATAACGTCATTTGATCAACTTACACACTTGGTCAAACATTTAATTAACTCCTCAGCCCGAGGTCTTGTCTGGGCCAGACCAGATGATTCCGGGGCCTCTATGGCCCACGGCAGACGTTCCCACCTGCCTTATGGGATGGCGTGGCGGGTAGCTTTCCCTCCTCCTATGGGCGCAGGGACTTGGTTATCATTCCTGCACTTTCCTGCGAGGCCTGGAGGCGGCCTGTGGGGTTTTCCACGTGGCTGCCCCCACCCGGCTGCACTTGACCGCCTGGCCCGGCAGGCGACCGAGAAGGGGCGTGGCGCACCTGCTGAGCTGCGGTCCCTCTCTTGGCATCACCATTTTTACTCACGTCTCTGTCTCCCCACCCCCTTTTCTTCCAGACAAGAACGGAAAGAAGAGTCTGGGCAAATTTGTGTCTTCTCCCATTAAAGAGAACGGGAACATCATTCTCTCTTACTCCGATGGCGATGTCTGTGGTGATAAGAAGAGAATAAAAACTGACATTGTACTTGTGTGCAAGCCAGGTAAGAATTTAAAGAGAAAAGGAAAACCGTGGCCGTGGCCGTGGCCGTGGCCGTGGCCAGGGTGTGCCCACCCTCCTCATCGCCGTTCCTTGTTGGCACTGCCGGGGGATGAGGCTGAAAGGCGGGGCAGGGGACCAAGCATGTTGGGTCCAGCACCCTTAATGGTGGTCAGCTGGGTTTGATTCCCCACCCCCTGCCCCAAACCCACCCAGAAATGGAGAAACTGTATGGAATCTGAGGGCATCGTCGTAATTTTCCAAAGAGCTACGTTCTGTGCGTGGCTTCTTGCTTAGGACTGATACACAGCCACCACAGCCACCTGACTCCGGGGAATGGCTTAAAAAGGCTGTCCCGCCGGCTGGCTGGCTCAGGGGCTGAGCTTTGACCTATGAACCAGGAGGTCACGGCTCGATTCCCCGTCAGGGCACAGGCCCGGGTTGCGGGCTCCATCACCAGTGGGGGCTGTGCAGGAGGCAGCCGATCAATGACTCTTTCATCGTTGATATTTCTGTTTCTCCCTCTCCCTTCCTCTCTCAAATCAAGAAAAACATATTTAAAAAAGTGCTGTCCTTGGTTTCACCAAGGAACACATGCATTCTTTTTTAAAATATATTTTTATTGATTTCAGAGAGGAAAGGAGAGGGAGAAAGAGATAGAAACATCAATGATGAGACACAGTGATTGGCTGCCTCCTGCACACCCCACTCTGGGGATCAAGCACGCAACCCAGGTATATGCCCTTGGCTGGAATCAAACCTGGAACCCTTCAGTCCGCAGGCCGACACTAACCACTGAGCCAAACAGGGCCGTTACTTACATTGTTTTATAGTGTCATAACCTATAGAGAGTTACACATGTTTGTGTTTCTCAGAATGTAGTGTTTTGTGAATAATTTTCGATGTCACAGTCACATGCATAATGCTAGGGACTTGCATGTTGAGTGCTGAGAGTTGATCATGGCTCAGTCTTATTATCTTTAAACGCTGTCCTTGCTGTTGGACTCCTAGCATGTTGCCGCTGTCGCTAAGCGTGCTGTTAACATTTCCCCCCCCTCCCCCCGCTGAGCTGTTTCCTTTAGATAAGTCCTCAGCTGTGGAATAAGCTCAGGGGCGAGGAGTATTTGTCTTTTCCAAAAAATATGCTTTTATTGATTTGAGAGAGAGAGGAAGGGAGAAGGAGAGAGAGAAAGAAACATCCGTGAGCCCCCTGCACGCCCCCTAGTGGCGATAGAGCCTGCAGCACGGCCACGTGTCCTGACCAGCACCCAACCAAAACCGCCCAGCCCGGCTAGGACTATTTTTTTGAGCTTTTTACTTTTTTTTCCTTCTTTGTTTAAAAGCATGGCATAATATGCATAATATGAAATTTATATGTTTTTTGAAATCGTAGTAAAATACACCTGACGTGAACCTCACCATTGTAACGGTTGTAAGTGGGCAGTTCCTTGGCGTGAAGCACGTTCCCATCGCTGGGCAGCAGCTGCCACGGCCATCTCCAGAACCTTCTCCTCCCCCCGCTCGGGGGTGGACTGGGCCCTGGGCGGGGGGCTGGCGCGGGATCCGCGGGACCGCGCTCAGCGGGCCGGTGACACCCTGCGCCCACAGGGGAGCTGGAGAGCGCCCCGGTGCTGACGGACGCCCGGGAGGACGGCTGCTTCTACGAGTTCGAGTGGCACACGGCCGCCGCCTGCGTGCTGGCGCGCACCGAGGGCGACAACTGCACCGTCTTCGACTCCCAGGCAGGTGCGTGTCCGCGCCCGGCGCCCGCCGGCTGGGCCTTAGGAAGCGTGCTTCCGGTGAGTGTCTGAGAGGCGGCCTGCCTCAGAGCGATGTGACCTCGGGGGCCCGCGCCCCACACCCTGAGAACCCGGTGTCTGAGGTCACGAGGAGCCTCTTTACCTTCACGGTTAGGGGAGGTTTTGCTGAATCGAGGGTCACGAGGAACTGAGTCGCATGAGAAACCGGGAAACGGCCCGAGAGACCACGTGGGCCCCGTGGTGCCCATCGTAGAGCCCAGGCCACGTGACCAGCCGTGGCGGGCTGTGCGTGGAACCTCACGTTTGACGGTGTCGGTGGAGGGACACCTCCCAGCACAGCAGGGGCTGCTCTGTGCCTCGCTCGTCCGTCCGGGCAGAGCGCCTGCGAGAGGCCACACCCAGGTCCCTCCGTCGGCCCGACTGACCGCCCGGCTGCCCCTGTCTCCCAGGCTTCTCCTACGACCTGTCGCCCCTCACCAAGAAGGACGGCTACAAGGTGGAGACGGCCAAGTACGACTTCTACATCAACGTGTGCGCGGCGGTGACCGCGGGCGGCTGCCAGCCCGGCGCGGGCGCCTGCCAGGTGGCGAGAAGGCAAGTCTCCGTCAGCGGCCCCAGGTTTCCCGGGCAACAGACGATATTCAGGGGCAGGTGTGCTCTCTGCCTTCAGAGGCTGAGCCAAGGTAGCTTGTGAACCAGAGGATGCTGGGAGTGCTGTTTCCCTTGGCAACAGGGAGCGGTTTCCGTGTGGCTGGCTCCGCTCACCTGCTAGAGAGACATTGGCGTGTTTCTCTGTTCACTAGTGCAATGGAGGGGCTGCACCGTCAGCCGGCTGTGGGCGTGGGTTCCCGAGGGGTTGCCCTCTCACTCCCCCCCTTCCCCCCTGGCTTAGCATCCTGCCGGGGTCAGGTGGTCTGCACCCTGGGTCCCGGCCCTGCTGCTCCCCTTCCTGCACGCCGGCCCCCTCTCATGCCAGCACGCGGGCGACTGGCCAGGGTCTCTCTCTGATCGGCGCTTCCTGTTTCAGCGATGGGAAGGCTTGGAACTTGGGACAGAGCAACGCTAAGCTTTCCTATTACGATGGGATGATCCAGCTGACCTACAGGGATGGCACGCCCTACAACAACAACAGACACACCCCCAGGTCCACGCTCATCACCTTCCTCTGTGACCGGGACGCAGATGTGGGCGTCCCCGAGTACCAGGTAGGGAGGGGCTGAGTGTCCCCGAATACCAGGTAGGGAGGGGCTGTGGGTCCTGTGTACCAGGTAAGGGGGGGCTGTGTGTGCCCATGTGGGCCCATGCATGTTGCTGGGAGAGGTGAAACCGTGAAGGTGGGAGGGAGGAAGGAAGGGTCCTCGGGCTGGCACCTGTCTGCACTGAGACGAGGCTCCCCCTGGAGGGGGGGTGTGAGCTGGGCGTCCCTGGGGATAAATGGCCACATTGTCTGTCTCCCAAGAGCAGCCCTGAGCCGCCTGCTGGGGCCCTTCACGCAGACACAGCGTTCAGTCTGGCCTCCTGGCCGTGCTACCACCTCCTGGGACTGCAGTGGGTCCTAGGTTTGCTGGCCCACAGGCAGGTCCCCTCTCTGAGCGTCCCTGCCCCGGCCTGTTTGCTCCGATCGCCCACAGCCCGTTCGGCGGGTCCCACCCGCACAGGCACCGCAGCCATTCCCCCTAACAGCCTGGGGCTGCCTTAACTTTTTACTGGATACTCGTCCTGTTAACACGCGGGAACGTGCCCCTCCTTCCCTGCAGTGTTCACAAAGCAGCACCTGTCTTGATTGTGTCTAACCCTGGCTTCCCGTGACATCCCCTCCTCTGCCTCTTCCCCGCCCCCCTCGCCACAGGAGGAAGATAACTCGACCTACAACTTCCGCTGGTACACCAGCTACGCCTGCCCCGAGGAGCCGCTGGAGTGCCTGGTGACCGACCCGCTGTCCATGGAGCAGTACGACCTCTCCAGGTACGGCGGCCGCGCGGCCTCCTGCCCGGCCATCGGCGCGGAGGCCTCCTGCGGGCCTCCCCGGAGCCTGGCGCCGAGCTCCGGGCTGCGGGAGCGGCTGGGGAGGTGCCAGCGGGCTGGCGGCCTCTGGGTGCCAGCCAGTCCCTGCACCGCACCTCCGTCTTCAGGTGGCTGTGGGTGCAGGGGGGCAGGTCGGGGAGTGTGGGGTCTGCATTTGACCATGCCACGCTGCTGGGTGCGTGAGTCGCGGTGAGAGCTCAGGAGGGGGACCGCGATGGAGCGCTCTCTGCGTGTCTCTGGACGCTCAACGCTGAGCTGTCAGGCCTCACAGCATCGCCGTCTGGTTTTCAGGCTGGCCAAGGCAGACGATGGCCCCGAGGGAAACTGGTACGCGCTGGACAGCGCCGGGGCCCACAGCGCGTGGCGCAAGTACTACATCAACGTGTGCCGGCCCCTGAGCCCCGTGCCGGGCTGCGACCGCTACGCGTCCGCCTGCCAGATGCGGTACGAGAACAAGCAGGGCGTGTTCTCCGAGGTCGTCTCCATCAGCAACCTGGGCATGGCGCGGTTCGGGCCGCTGGTGGAGGAGAGTGGCAGCCTGCTGCTGGAGTACGAGAACGGCTCGGCCTGCACCACCAGCGACGGCGTGCAGACCACCTACACCACCCGCATCCACCTCGTGTGCTCCAGGGGCAGCCTGGTGAGCGGGCTCCGCGGGGCGTGTCTCCACGGGGGCGGGCGAGTTGGTGGGTAGAGGAGTCAGGTTCTCCTTTTCGAAAGGGTGGTCTTGGACTCAGACTTGGGTTTGGGTCCCAGTTGCACTCTGCTGCTGGCAGGGCCTCAGGTCCATGCCTCAGCATCCAAGCCTGAGAGTGAGGCGATGCCATCACAGCAGGCACAGGGAGGACCACCTTGTAAGTGGGCGACGCTCACTGAGCACCTTGCCTGTCGAGTGACACCTAGCCCTGCATTTGACCTTCCAGAACACCCACCCGATCTTCTCTCTCATCTGGGAGTGTGTGGCCACGTTCCTCTGGAACACGGAGGCCGCCTGTCCCATCCAGATAACCACGGAAACAGACGAGGTACGTGTGCCGGCGGGACCTCTCGGAGCTGCCCTGACATCCCACCCACCCGCTGCCCGGCTCTGCGCCCCCCCCCCCCTTCCTAATCTAACCAGCATCACCATGGAAACTGTCCAACTGCCTCCTGCACGCCCCCTACTGGGGATCAAGCTGGCAACCAGGCTTGTGCCCTGCGTGGGGATTGAACCGTGATCTCCTGGTTCATGGTCAGCGCCCAGCACAGCCCGGCGTGGGCATGAGGGTTGCCCTCTCCCTGGGGCTCCCGTGGGGAGCACACGCAGGGTGGGAGGCACTGTGTGTGCTGTGCCCTCCAGGACGTGGCTCGAGTGTGTCTCTTCCCGCCTGTTCCCACAGGCCTGTGCCATAAGGGACCCGAACAGCGGGTACGTGTTTGACCTGAACCCGCTCAACAGTTCCCAAGGCTACGTGGTCTCCGGCATTGGGAAGACTTTTGTGGTAAGCATCCGCGCGAAGCCCCGTCTGCCTGGAAATGCGACAGTGCGCTGCGGTCCGGCAGCGGGTGGTGGGGCGGCATCCTGCTGGTGTGATTCACAGTAGTTGAGAGTGTTTTTACAGCACAGGAGGGTGTGGGTTACAGTAGATGAGGGGTTAGGTTACATCAGGCGAGAGTGTAGTTACAGTGGGTGAGGGTGTGGGTTACAGTAGGTGAGAGTGTAGGTTACAGTGGGTAAGAGGTCACTTACAGTAGACAAGGGTATGATTACAATAGACGAGGGTGTAGTTACAGTGGGCGAGGATGTACTGAGCTGCCTGCTGAACTCCATAGAGAACATTCTAGATAACATGAGTCCCACAGAACGTGCTAGAAGTGAAGAGCCCCGGTTACTTGGCATTGCACCGACTGGCCATTTCTGGAGTAGGAGACCCCGGACTTTCAGAAACCTGATTTTTGTCCGGAGTTGTTACTTTCGTATACGTTTCCACTCCCACTGACCAGACAGCGGTCTTCCCGCCCGGGGCCTGTTCTTCATTTTCACGGGATGGTGTCAACGTCTTTAAGAAGCCTAGGGTTATCCCATCGTGATGACTTAGTTAACAGTTAGCTGCCTGTCATTCTCCAGTGTGACTGAAACTAGGGCACGTGTGTCCTCTGTCACATGAGGTCACGGTCACCGGAAATGCACCTGAGCGTTCGGAGGTGCAGGGCCACGTAGCACGCGCCATGCCTTGGAGGCAGCCCCTGGGCACTCGCCTTGATCTTTGCCCAAACGTGGGGCGTTGGTGACCAGGCAGTGGGCTCCCGCTGCCCAGCGTGGCCGGGGCAGGGTTGCGGGCTCTCCCCGTGGCGAGGGGCGCGGCCTGAGGGTGTGGGTGTGGTTCTTCCCGTCCGGCCTGCAGTTCAATGTGTGCGGCCCGATGCCCGTGTGTGGGACCCTGGACGGAAAGCCGGCCGCCGGCTGTGAGGCGGCGACCCAGACAGCGGATCTCAACAACCTGAAGCCAGAGCGGCAGGTCGGCCTGGAGAAGAACCTCCAGCTGTCCACGGAGGGCTTCATGACGCTGACCTACAAGGGCCCCTACTCCGACGCCAAGGGTGAGCTCAGCACCACGCCGATGTGGCCGGACGTGTGTGTGTGTGCTGGCGGTCCCGTGACTTCCCCTTCTGAGAGCGTGCCGTCAGGGAGTCCCTGCGGTGTCTGAGTCCCCCCGCCTCCGGCACACGTGTGCCACACGGACGTGCCCTCCTGCTCACCCAGGTCCCGACTGGAGAGGTGGCCGGACCCCTGCTGCCCGCTCGCCCCTCCTCCCAGTCCTTCATCAGTTGTCCCTCTGACACAGGACATTGTTACTTTAAAAATATATATATCTTTATTGATTTCAGAGAGGAAGGGAGAGGGAGAGATAGAAACATCAATGTTGAGAGAGAATCATTGATTGGCTGCCCTTGACCAGAATTGAACCTGGGACCCCCAATCCGCAGGCCCACGCTCCATCCACTGAGCCAAACTGGCCAGGGCACGTACAGTTTGACAGGTTTACTCTCCTGCACTGTGTCGCGCAGCGGGAACGGCATATCAGAGTGCCAGCCCGGTGGCTGGTGGTTGGGTCCCAGCCACGCGTCCTTGTCGGAGTGCTGAGTGCGCGTGGCTGGTCGGTTCTCACCAGCCCTCGGCACTCACCCCTCACCGGTGTCCCTGCTGCCTAACCACCTCCTCACCTGAGGGGGACCAGGGCCCGGCCGGCCCGTGCCCAGGGCGGAGCCAGCTGCTCCTCGTGGGCAGAGCCGGAGTCAGGGCCCAGGTCTTCTGACTTTCATCCTGGCTCTGACCTCAGACGTCCTGGCTCTGAAACCGCGGAGGCACCTTCTTGCCCGCACACCCCTTGGCTCTGTTCCCCGGCCCTCAACGCTGTTCCCTTAAGATGGCCACGCGGCTCGCTCACTTCCTCACCCTCCCCGGGATCGGCTCCGCTTCCCTCAGGGGCCTCACAGCCTCTCCCCCGCGCGTTCTGTGCCACCACGCCTGGGACTGCTGTGCCCACCGTGCCTTTTCCTCCTGCCCGTCTCCCGCCCGGCCTGTCCTGCCTGTGTGTAATGTGCTGTTAGGGCCACCAGCTGGGAGCGGCAGCTCCGTGTTCCCCACTCCTGTGTATAAATGTTTTTTGATTAAATCAGTAGAGGAGAGTTATGCTGTTTCCTAACGTTTTCATTGATAAACGGATGTAGCACTTGGATATTTTCTGAAACATAGGGTGGGGCAAAAGTAGGTTTACAGTTGTTTGTATGTGAAATAATACGATTCTGTATATATTATATAAGCCCAAGTGACTGGCCAGTAGCAATGCCACGCACTGGCCACCAGGGGGCAGGCACTCAACGCAGGAGCTGCTGAGCCACTGCAGCTGCAGATCTGGGGTGACGCAGCTGGAACCAGAGAGGAGGGGGCCCTATTCTGGATGCGTCACCCAGGAACCGTCCTCTCGTAATCCGGGACCCTTCAGGGGGATGTCAGACAGTCAGTTTTGGCCCAATCCCCACAGGCCAGGCCGAGGGACCCCACCGGGCACGAATCTGGCATCAAAGTGGCAGCCCAGTTTGAGTCCGTGCACCGGGCCTCCACTAATAAGTAATAGTACAAGAGTAAACTGTTTGTGTACTCGCACTCTCGGACCTGCTCTTGCCCTGCCTTGTGTGAGAACCAGGGGGCTCACGGTCGCCATGAATGTGCCTCTCGGGGGCGCACAGGCCCCTGGACGCAGACCTGGCGCTGTGAGGTCACGTCCCCGAGGCGGCCTCGGGCTGGTTCCAGCGGGAGGGCTGTCGGGCGGTGCCGTGATGGCTGCCGTTTCTCATGGTCTGTCCTTCTTGTTCCCCAGCGTCTGGCAGTTCTTTCATCATCCGCTTTGTGTGCAACGATGACGTGTACCCAGGAATCCCCAAATTCCTGCACCAGGACATCGACGCCGGCCTGGGCCTCCGCAGGACCTACATTGAGTTTGAAACGGCGCTGGCCTGCGTGCCTTCCCCCGTGGACTGCCAGGTCACAGGTAAGGCCTGGGGGACCAGGCACTCAGAGCCTGGTCAGAAGTGTGCGTGCGCACGTGCGTGTGAGTGTGTGTGCGTGTGTGTGTGCACAGGTGCATGTCTGCACGTGCATATGAGTGTGTGCATGTTTGCACTGAGTGTGTATGTGTTGTGTTCTACTTTACAGGCAGCGTGCCATGTGTGTTTGCACATTTTTTTTGAAGGATGCCTAGATTTGGAATCTTTCCCCTTGAAGGGAATCTGGGGTAGTTAATGATTTTAAGTTACAATTTGGGATTAGAATTACATGTTTAAGAACAGAGAAGGAAATTTGGGGGGAAATAAAATAGACTCTCGGAGCTCCTTATCTGAGGGGGAAGACTAAAAAGAGGAACGAGTAGCGGAAGGTGGGCCCGAGGCCGAGCAGTGTCTCCGGGACCCGCCCCAGTGCCGTCTGGGGGGCCCTGTGCACAGCAGCTGTGAGGGTCAGAGCGGCCGCGTTTCTTCAGGAAGCCTCCTTGCTGCTGCTGCTTCTGCTGCTGCTGCTGCTTTGGTTCTTTTTTTTCTTTTTTTTTTCTTATTCTCACCTGAGGATATTTTCCCATTGATTTCTAGAGAGAGTGGGAGGGAGGGAAGAAGGCAAAGAGAGGGGGAAACACTGATGTGAGAGACCCATCAATTGGTTGCCTCCTGTGGGCACCTTGACCAGGGCCAGATCAAACCTGCAACCCAGGTCCATGCCCTTGACTGGGAATCGTACCCCCAGCCCTTAGTGTGCAGCTGGCATTCTAACCACTGGGCATACCGGCCAGCTCCCTCATCTCCGCCATGGGTGCCAGAGGTGCAGCGTGGGTCTCCGCTGGGGAGGCGGCCGTGCTGCCCTGCGTGCTCCGTGTTTCAGACCCGGCCGGGAACGAGTATGACCTGAGTGGCCTGAGCAGCGTGCGGAAGCCCTGGGTTGCCGTGGACCCCACGGTGGACGGAGAGAGGAGGACGTTCTACCTGAGCGTGTGCACGCCCCTCCCGTACATCCCCGGGTGCCGAGGTGAGCACAGCTTTGGGCTCCAGTTCCGCCCGCCTTCCCCTCTCCCACCCCACCCCCAGCGAACCCCCCGGCTCTTGCAGGCCATGCAGTGGGGTCGTGCCTGGTGTCCGAGGAGGACAACTGGAACCTGGGCGTGGTGCAGATCAGCCCGCAGGCCGCCGGCAACGGGTCCCTGAGCCTCGTCTACGTCAACGGCGACAAGTGCAACGGGAACCAGCGCTATTCCACCAGGATAACGCTGGAATGTGCCCAGACATCGGTGAGTGTGCCCAGACGGCGGTGAGTGTGCCCAGACGGCGGTGAGTGTGCCCAGGCGCCGGTGCGTGTGCTGACGGCGGTGCGTGTGCCCAGGCGGCGGTGCGTGTGCCCAGGCGGCGGTGCGTGTGCTGACAGCGGTGGTGCGTGTGCCCAGGCGCCGGTGCGTGTGCTGACGGCGGTGCGTGTGCCCAGGCGGCGGTGCGTGTGCCCAGGCGCCGGTGCGTGTGCTGACGGCGGTGCGTGTGCCCAGGCGGCGGTGCGTGTGCCCAGGCGGCGGTGCGTGTGCCCAGGCGGCGGTGCGTGTGCCCAGGCGCCGGTGCGTGTGCCCAGGCGCCGGTGCGTGTGCCCAGACGGCGGTGCGTGTGCCGACGGCGGTGCGTGTGCCCAGATGTTGGTGCGTGTGTGCCCAGGCGGCGGTGCGTGTGCCCAGGCGGCGGTGCGTGTGCCCAGGCGGCGGTGCGTGTGCTGACGGCGGTGCGTGTGCCCAGACGGCGGTGCGTGTGCCGACGGCGGTGCGTGTGCCCAGATGTTGGTGCGTGTGCCCAGATGTTGGTGCGTGTGTGCCCAGGCGGCGGTGCGTGTGCCCAGGCGGCGGTGCGTGTGCCGACGGCGGTGAGTGTGCCCAGTCGGTGATGTGAGTGTGACAAGCAGTGTGTGTCGTGTGTCCACTCCCTTGCCCAGGTCCCTCCCATCGCTGAACCTTCTCACTCACAGCCTGCCTGGGTTTCCCCCGGTCCGGCCTTTGTGGGGTTCAGCGGGAGCGTGCTCTCGGGCCACGTGGCTGGCAGTGGCTCTCTCACGGAGACGCTGCCTGTTCACGGGGCTGTCCTCCCCTCTCCTCCTCACTGCAGGGCTCGCCCACGTTCCAGCTGCTGGACGAGTGCGAGTACGTGTTCGTCTGGAGGACGGTGGAAGCCTGCCCGGTGATCAGAGCGGAAGGTAGGCCCGGCGCCGGCAGCGTGGGGGCCGCAGATGCGAGGCCTGCGGTGACGGGCGCGTGTGTGGCCGCGGAACGCGCGTGGTGGCAGATAACTGCTCTCTCTCCCGCTGTCACCTGGGGAGGTTCTCTTCTCAGTGGCCGTTGACATACACTGTCCCGTTAGTTCCCGGTGTAACGTATGATAGAATGAACACGTAACATCTTTTTTAAAAAAAACAATTCTTATTGATTTCAGAGAGGAAGGGAGAGGGAGAGAGAGAAACATCAGTGATGAGAGAGAATCATGGATCGGCTGCCTCCTGCTCGCCCCCCACGGGATCAAGCCTGCAGCCGGGGCCTGTGCCCCGACTGTGACTTGAACTGTGACCTCCTGGTTCAGAGGTCGCTGCTCAGCCGCTGAGCCCGCCGGCCGGGCTGCGCAGGCAGCCTCTCCCCGGAGTTAATACTCGGTACGTCGCCCCCTTGCCCGGCGGTGTTTTCCTCGGGGCCTGGGTTGACGGCGTGGGCTTCTCACGCGTGAGCGCACGAGTGGGGCCACTTACTGTTCCGTTGGGTCACGTGGCTCCTCATTGCGTGTCCTCGGCTCCTGTAGAAAGTTGTCCGCCAGGCCGTTCTCCGTGGGTGTCTGTAGAGACCGCAGGAACACGTGTGTGCTGTCTGCTTCGCTTCGGCCGCTGCCGGGGGGGAAGGGGCACTTCCTGCTGCACGTGACTCCTCCCGCGTCCCCACAGGAGACAACTGCGAGGTGCGGGACCCCAAGCACGGCCATCTGTACGACCTGAAGCCGCTCTCGCTGAACGACAGCGTGGTGAACGCCGGGGAGTACACCTACTACTTCCGCGTCTGCGCGAAGCTGGCCGCCGGCGTCTGCTCCACCGACGACAAGTCCAAGGTGATCTCGTCCTGCCAGGAGAAGCGGGGCCCGCTGGGGTTCCACAAGGTGGCAGGTACGTACGGGGCTGCACGCAGAGCCGGGGGGCGGGCCGGAGGGGCCGGGCTGGGGTGCATCTCCTTGGCAGGAGGCGGCTGCTGGGTGCCCGCGGGAGGTGCCTGTTGCTGACTTCCTGAGCCAGAGTGTGCTCGGAGGGGGCCCTCGAGCTTTGTTTGTTTCATTCACACTTAGCAATGCCCAACACAGATCCTAAGACCTTGTTTTTTACAAATACTTTTAGTGATTTCAGAGAGGAAGGGAGAGAGAGAGAGAGAGAGAGAGAGAGAGAGAGAAACATTAGCAATGAGAATCATGCTCCTGCAGGCCCCCTACTGGAGATTGAGCCCTCCACCCGGTCATGTGCCCATGGCCAGAATCGAACCCAGGACCCTTGCATCCGCAGGCCGACGCTCTATCCACTGAGCCCAGCCCGAGGGCAGACTTGTTTCTTTTCCCTAGTGCAGCAGCGGGGATGGGTGTTCCGAGGTAGTACTTTCTGGAATCGAGTCGGGAACCCGTTCGGGAAAGGTTTGGCCCTGGAGCCCACAGGCAGGCCGGGGTCCCCACGCCGTCTCAGCCGCGGCCAGCGGTACAGGTTGAGGGACATTTGAGAGAGAAGTCCGGGAGCGGCTGCGCGAGGGCGGCCCCCGGGCCGCGTGGAGGTGTGGCCGCTGGGTGCCGACCGGCTGCGGGGCGGCTGTGTCGCCCTGGCTCAGTCTGGGCGAGCAGCCGGCCCCGTGCCTCCCGCTGTGGCGCGGCCGGAGCAGGCACAGCCGTGGCCGGCACCGGGGGCGCCTGCGGCTCGGGGTGCGCAATGCCCGGGCCGAGCCGATCCCTGCTGCCCCGCTGCCCCCGCGCAGGCCTCCTCACGCAGAAGCTGACCTACGAGAACGGGCTGCTGAAGATGAACCTCACGGGTGGCGACACCTGCCACAAGGTGCACCAGCGCTCCACCACCATCTTCTTCTACTGCCATCACAGCACCCAGAAGGTGCGGCCGCGCGGCGGGCACCCTGTGTCTGAGCGGGTTTCCGGGGCCGGGATCGCCCGCCACGCCCGCCCCAACCCACCGCGTGAGTGCACGGAGGCCCCGTGACACGAGCGTGTCTCCCCGCAGCCCGTGTTCCTGCAGGAGACCTCCGACTGCTCCTACCTGTTCGAGTGGCGCACCCAGTACGCCTGCCGCCCCTTCGACGTGACCGAGTGCTCCTTCAAGTGAGTCGGCCGGCGCCTCGCGGCCGGAGCGTGGCTCCGTGGTCGCTTTTCGTGAGAAGGGAGACGAGTCTCGCTGTCCGGACGGCCTCTCCCCAGGGGTTGCGTTCCCGGCTTTGGTCCCGTTTCCTCCTCTCCGGACGGGGCTGGCACAGGCGCGGCTCCCGGGCCGTGCCCACCCCTCCTCCTGTCGTACCCGGCCTGCGGCCAGCCTCCCGGGCCGTGGCTGCCGTGGCTGCTGGGTGCCTTCTCCGTGGCCCGGGCTCTGAGATACCCGCTTCTCCGGCTTGGTGTCTGGAGGTTCTTGCTAATAGACAATTTAAAAAATATGTTTTTATTGCCTAGAGAGAAACATCAGTGATGAGAGAGAATCATTGATTGGCTGCCTCCTCCACGCCCCCACTGGGGATTGAGCCCGAAACCCAGGCATTGACCTTGACTGGAATCGAACCCGGGACCCTTCAGTCCGCAGGCCGATGCTCTATCCATTGAGCCACCCCTGTTTTGTTGAACTGTGTCTCTGTGAATCTGAGTTGTCGCTGATCTGACTGTTGGGGTGTGGCCCAGGCTAAAGTCCTGTCCCCGGGGAAGATGGATTCCGGTGAGCGTGCCAGCCGCTCAGTGCGCACAGCTGACCCGCCCGGTGCTCTCTCCCTGCAGAGACGCGGCCGGCAACACCTTCGACCTGTCGCCCCTGTCGCGGTACAGCGACAACTGGGAGGCTGTCACCAGCACCGGGGCCCCCGAGCACTACCTCATCAACGTCTGCAAGTCGCTGGCCCCGCAGCCCGGCGCCGGTGAGCACGGCGGGGCGAGGAGCCCGCTCCTGGGCGCCGCCCTGCCTGTGACATGCACGGCTTCGCCAGGACGCGCAGAGGGTTATTTCGGGGTCTCGGTGACCGGTCCCTGGGGTGCCCGAGGCTCTGCCGGGGGCATTCTCGCCTTCTGGAACATGAGGGTGGCGGTGGGCGGAGGCGGTCCTGGCGGCAGTGATTCTCAGCAGGGAGGAGGCGGAGGGCCCAGCGTGGCGAGGTGTGTGCCCGCCGTGCCCTGAGCGCGTGGGCGGCCTGTTCCGAGGCAGAGCCAGCCCCCGAACCTGAGTGCTGGGGAGCTGGCTGGGTGCGTGGGGCCAGGCACCTGCCCACGCCGGCGGCCGGCGCCGAGGCTCCTGTGGAGCGGCTTCACCGAGGCCACGGCCCCTCCCCGTGCTCTGTGCCGGGCAGGCTGGCGGCACCGCGGTCTTAGCCCCCGAGTGGGGCCAGCTCTTTCTCGGGCCGGCGGCACGGGCGTTTGGGGCCTCTTGCGTAAGGCGAGCAGGCGAGGGGAGGTCAGGCCGTGTCCCTTTGGCCTCAGCTGGGTACCGAGGCTCAGAAGGAATTCAGGCCGTCACCCCCGATCCCCGCACTCCAGCCCTCCCGTGGCTCTGAGGGAGGCCTCCTGCTGCCTGCCTGATGGGAGAAGCCGGCGGTGGTGGCGGCGCCGGTGCAGTCTGAGCTGCGGGCCTCGCTCGCCGGGAGGTGAACTCCAGTGGAGAGGCCCGGGGTGACCCTGTGTCTCCGCTGCAGAGCCCTGCCCGCAGGAGGCGGCCGCGTGTCTGCTGAACGGCTCCAAGCCCGTGAGCCTGGGCCGGGTGCGGGACGGCCCCCAGCAGGAGGGCGGCATCACCGTCCTCAAGTACGTGGACGGCGACCTGTGTCCTGACAGGATCCGGAACAAGTCCACCATCATCCGGTTCACCTGCAGCGAGAACCAGGTGGTGAGTGACCGCGTCCTCGGTCCCGGGCCCCTGGGGCCAGCAGGGGCGGGCGGCGTCTGCCTCCCCTGGAGGGAGTCTCAGAGCCGAGGATGGCAGGCATGGCAGCGGGGAGCAGGCAGCGGGTGGGCGGGCAGAGGGTGAGGAGGCAGCATCATGCCGGCCCTGTGGTCCTGGGCACTCTGTCCTCCGCCCCCACGCCAGGCTGGCTGTTCGGGGTCAGAGCTCATTGGGTGGAAGGTTTGCTTACACCCCCGGTCTCGGGTGTCACCGGGGGAAGCGGAAGGTTGGCCGGACCTGGTCCAGGCAGCACTTCCCCTCCGCGTGGACCCGGTTCACTCCTCACCCACAGGAAGCTGCTCAGCCGGTGCTGCCGGTGGAGGGAAGGGGCGGGGCAGGGTTAGGGTGTGTGAGGGGCGTGGGCGGGGCTGCCCAGCGGGTCTGAGCGAGCCTGTGGTGGCCGAGGGTGCAGGGGAGCAGGCCCGGCGGCTCTCGCTTGGCTCCTGACCGCGGGTCCCAGTCACTGGCTTTCAGGCACCGCTGTGGGCTCCTGTGAGCAGCACCTTAGTCCGCCTGCCCCCTCCCTGGGGGAGCCGGCGCCTCCCTCGCCCTGTGTGCGGAGCCCCAGCTCCCGAGCAGAGGTCCTGCCGGTGCCGGGTCCGAACACCGCCCTCCGCCCGCTCCGCCCCCAGAACGCCAGGCCCATGTTCATCAGCGCCGTGGAGGACTGCGAGTTCACCTTCGCCTGGCCCACGCCGGCCGCCTGCCCCGTGCGGAGCAACGTGCACGGCGACTGCCGCGTCACCAACCCTGCCACCGGTGAGGCGTCACCAGCCCCACCTCAGGGAGGGACCTGCCGTCACGGCCCGCGGCCGCGTGCTGCACAGAGGCCGGCCCGCTTGCCCGCCCCGGGGCTGTGACCGGTGGCAGCTCGCCTGTGGCGGAGTTGGTGACGGTCTCGCTCGCTCGCTCTCGGCAGGGCACCTCTTCGACCTGAACTCTCTGGGCGGCAAAGAGGGACACACGGCCGCCTACAGCGAGAAGGGGCTGGTCTTCCTCAGCATCTGCGGGGAGAACGAGAACTGCGCCCCCGGCGTCGGTGAGTGCAGCTCTGCGGCCTCTCCCCGGAGGCCTCCGCCCCGGCCTCCCTCCCGGCCTCCACCCCGGCCTCCGTCCCGGCCTCCCTCCTGGCCTCCCTCCCGGCCTCGGCCCCGGCCTCCCTCCCGGCCTCCCTCCTGGCCTCCGCCCCAGCCTCCCTCCCAGCCTCCGTCCCGGCCTCCCTCCCGGCCTCCCTCCCGGTCTCCCTCCCGGCCTCCGCCCCGGCCTCCCTCCCGGCCTCGGCCCCGGCCTCCCTCCCGGCCTCCCTCCCGGCCTCCGTCCCGGCCTCCGCCCCTCAGCCGGAGGGCGAGGACAAGCGAAGGCCACGCGCCCTCTCCTGCTGCGGCTGCTGGCGGCACGGCCACGTGACGGGACGGTGCGCGGTGGCCTCTGCTCAGACACCGCGGGCCCTCGGACGCGCTGTCGGCCTCTGCGGGAAGGGCTCGGGCGCGGCCGTGCGCGCTGTAACCGCGTGTCCCTCCCCTCCTGGCGCAGGGGCCTGCTTCGGGCAGACCAGGATCAGCGTGGGCAGGGCCAACAAGAGGCTCACCTACGTGGACCAGGTCCTGCAGCTGGTGTACGAGGAGGGCTCGCCCTGCCCGTCCAAGTCTGGCCTGCGCTACAAGAGCGTCATCAGCTTCGTGTGCAGGCCCGAGGCCGGGCCCACCAACAGGCCCATGCTCATCTCGCTGGACAAGCGGACCTGCACGCTCTTCTTCTCCTGGCACACGCCGCTGGCCTGCGAGCAGGCGGTGAGTCCGGGCCGCACGCGGCCCCGGGCGGCCTCCCAGCAGGGGCCTGGGTCTCTCGTCCCCTCCGACGGCCCCAGTGGTCCTCGGCGCGGTGTGCTCGGTGCTCTGTAGCCGAGCGTCTGGGGCCCCGAGCCCGCGCCCGTGCTTTCTTGGTGGTGGCTGAGCTGTTACATGCGTGTGGGTGACGTGCGAGGACTAGGAACGTCCTGCCGACTCTGGCGGTCTGCCTCTCTCACAGACGGAGTGCTCTGTGAGGAACGGCAGCTCCATCATCGACCTGTCGCCCCTCATCCACCAAACGGGGGGCTACGAGGCGTACGACGAGAGTGAGGACGAGTCCTCCGACACCAACCCCGACTACTACATCAACATCTGCCAGCCGCTGAACCCCATGCACGGCGTGGCCTGCCCCGCCGGGACCGCCGTGTGCAAGGTGCCCGTGGACGGGGCCCCCATCGTAAGTGTGGGGAGCGCAGGGGGAGACCACACGCCTGTGCGCCCGCTGCTTGCTTCCCCGGGGATTCCTCCAGCGGAAGGCGTGGAGGCGACCGGGCCGTGTTCTGGGAACGTGGGGAGGAGGGCCTGCCGGTGAGCTGTGGACGGAGATGTGAACACACGTATAACTACACGCTTGTGTGTCATGGGAGGAGTCTTGGGCGGAGAAATACTTGTGGAAAGAACATAGGGAGCTTGGTTCCTGTGGATGCACGTCTCGTGTCATTAGCATTCTTCTGAAACAAGCGCTTTATTTATTTACTAGAGGCCCGGTGCATGAAATTCGTGCACGGGAGGGTGTGTCCCTCAGCCCAGCCTGCACCCTCTCCAATTTAGGATCAGGCCTAAACAGCCAGTCAGACATCCCTTTCACAATCCAGGCCAGCTGGCTCCCAACTGCTCTCCTGCCTGCCTTCCTGATTGTCCATAACCGCTTCTGTCTGCCAGCCTGATCACCCCCTAACCATCCCTCTGCCAGCCTGATTGGTGCCTAACTGCGCCCCTGCCAGCTTGTTTGCCTCTAACTGGTCTCCCCTGCAGGCCTGGGTCCCCCCCCCCCACTGCCCTTCCCTGCAGGCCCAGTCGCCCCGAACTTGCCTCCTCTGCCAGCCTGGTTACCTCTAACTGCCCTCCTTTGCAGGCTTGATTGCCCCCAACTGCCTTCCCTTGTAGGCCTGGTCCCTCCCAACTGCCCTCCTCTGCTGGCCATTTTGTGGCGGCCATCTTGTGTCCACATGGCAGCAGCCATCTTGTGTGTTGGAGTGATGGTCAATTTGTATATTACTCTTTTATTAAATAGTATTTTAAAATGTATTTTTATTGATTTCAGAGAGGAAAGGAGAGGGGGAGAGAAAGGGAGGGAGAGGAAGAGAGAGAGAGAAACATCAAAGATGAGAATCATGGATCAGCTGCCTCCTGCAGGCCTCTACTGGGGATCCAGCCCATAACCTGGGCACATGTCCTGACCAGAAAGAACCGTGAACTCTGGCTCATAGGTTGGCGCCGTGCTGGCCAGGCCGAGGCTTTCTGAAGGAAACGGGGACAGTTAGGGGCTGCCTCAGAAGCCGTGGTGTTCACCTCGCGTTGTCAGTGCAGGCCTGCGTCTCCAGAACTGTCTTCACGAGTTACACGCGTGTTCTATTCTGTCAAACCCTGGGTGGGTGGAGTGTCTGTGCTTTTTACGTGGCGAGCTCCTGGGCTCACATGCTTTCCTCCCTGTGACAGGCGAGCGAGCGCGTCTGCAGCGTCGTCAGGAGTGGGCGGGGATTGGTGGAGGGACTGTGGGCAGGAGGGGTGAGCCAGGCCGGGGCGGGAGCCCATCGGAGTCCTCCCACAGTGAGGTTGGGGTCCTCACTCGGGGCACTTCCTGAGACACCCGTCTGCTGTATTGTTGCCCAGCTGCCTTTTTCCACATTCTAAAAACCGGTAATTTCTCTGACCAGTCAGTGCTGTGGTCTGAACATGCCTCACAGTGATAAAGTGTTACAGCTTCATTTTCACACTCATTGTGTGCACACACATTCTCTATCTCTCTCTCACACACACACACACACACACACACACACACACACTTTATCTCTCACACATACATTCTCTGTCTCTTACACATTCTCTATCACACACACACATTCTCTATCTCACACACACATACACTTTATCTCTCACACACACATTCTCTATCTCACACACACATACACTTTATCTCTCACACACACATTCTCTATCACACACACATTCTCTGTCTCACATATTTTCTATCACACACACACACTATCACACACACACACACACACACTGTCTCACACACTATCTCACACACACACACACAGTCTCACACACTACCTCTCACACACACACACACACACACACACACACGTCTTTCCTTCATGTGTTCATTTACTCCGAGCAGCCCGTGGGCTGGTGCTGTGCTGAGCTGAGTGTGGGAGGGGCGGGGAGCAGGGCTGTGCCCTCCTGGGGCACCTCGGGGCACCTCCCGGTGAGCGGGCGGTCGCAGCAGGGCTGGGCGTGAGGCAGTCAGCGAGGGGCACAGACGGCGGTTCCCTCTCCACCGCCGGTCCCAGCAGGCCGTGCGACCTTCTCCGTTTCGTGACGGAGTCCGAACGTCCCGGGGCAGGTGGCCGTTGCTAACCGGGGGTCCGAGCCGATGCCCTGCAGCACTGGTTCTCCGTGTCCCCGCCGAGCGCCGGGCTGCCTGCGAGCGCTCACAGCTCTCCTCCTCCAGCAGACGGGGCGAGCGCGCCGTGGGGTCAGCCCGGGCCCGGGAGACCTGTTTGTTTCTCCTCCTGCAGGACATTGGCCGAGTCTCGGGACCCCCGATACTCAACCCCGTGGCCAACGAGGTCTACTTGAACTTCGAGAGCAGCACCCCATGCCTGGCCGACAAGCACTTCAACTACACCTCGCTCATCTCCTTCCACTGCAGGCGGGGCGTGAGCATGGTGAGCCCTGCAGCCAGGCGCGGCGCCGCGCGGGCCACGGCGGCCGCGGCGTGCGGGGGCTGTTTCAGGCCCAGGCGCCGAGCTCGCCCCGGCTCCACGCCGCTGGCGTGCACCTGCCTGGGTGACCGCGCAGGCGCACGGGGCTGCTGTGACCTCGAAGCCCTCGCCGTACAGTCCCCTGTCCAGGAGGGGGCGCTGCCAGGGAGCGGCGAGGGGCTGGCTCCCCTCCTCGCCCGGGTCTGTGGTGACAGGGACAGGCCTCCCTTTCCCTGCAGGTCACCCCTGTTCCCGGGTGCGGGGCGGGTGTTCCCGGGTGCCTGGCGGGGCTGTGAGCGGGGAGGCGCCCATAACCCACGGGCTTGTGCGCTCCCCTCAGGGGACCCCGGAGCTGCTGCGGGTGAGCGACTGTGACTTCGTGTTTGAGTGGGAGACGCCGCTGGTGTGCCCGGACGAGGTGAGGACGGAGGGCTGCTCCCTGATGGACGAGCAGCTCGACTACAGCTTCAACCTGTCCAGCCTGTCCAAGAGCACCTTCAAGGTGAGGCCCCTCACCTCTGCGGGCATGGCCTCCTGCCCCCTGCCCCCTGCCCGCGCTGCCCCCTGCCCGCGCTGCCCCCGCTGCCCCTGCCCGCACTGCCACCTGCCCCCTGCCCCCTGCCCGCGCTGCCCCCTGCCCCCTGCCCCCTGCCCGTGCTGCCCCCTGCCCCCTGCCCCTTGCCCGCGCTGCCCCCTGCCCCCTGCCCGCGCTGCCCCCTGCCCCCTGCCCCCTGCCCGCGCTGCCCCCTGCCCCCTGCCCGCGCTGCTCCCTGCCCGCCCTGCCTGCCCCCTGCCCGCGCTGTTCCCTGTACACACTGCCCCCTGCCTCCTGCCTCCTGCCTGCACTGCCCCCTGCCCGCGCTGCCCCCTGCCCCTGCTGCCCCTGCCCGCGCTGCCCCTGCCCCCTGCCCCCTGCCCGCACTGCCCCCTGACCGCGCTGCCCCCTGCCCCCTGCCCGCGCTGCCCCCTGCCCCCTGCCCGCGCTGCTCCCTGCCCGCCCTGCCTGCCCCCTGCCCGCGCTGTTCCCTGTACACACTGCCCCCTGCCTCCTGCCTGCACTGCCCCCTGCCCGCGCTGCCCCCTGCCTCCTGCCTGCACTGCCCCCTGCCCGTGCTGCCCCTGCCCATGCTGCCCCCTGCAGGGCGGCCACTCACAGCCCTGTGTGTCCCCGCCAGGTGACTCGGGACTCGCGCACGTACAGCGTGGGCGTGTGCACGGCGGCCGCGGGCCCGGACGAGGGCGGCTGCAGGGACGGCGGCGTCTGCCTGCTCTCGGCGAGCAAGGGCGTGTCCTTCGGGCGGCTGGCGTCCATGCGGCTGGACTACCGGCACCAGGACGAGGCCGTCATTCTGAGCTACGCCAACGGAGACACCTGCCCTCCAGGTAGAGCTCGGCAGCGGGCACCGGCACTCCCAGTGAGCGTGGCGTTAGGCCAGGCAGGGAGCACGTGGGAGGGAAGTGCCCACTGCGCGCCAGGACAGCGGGTCCACCGGCGTCACGTCCAGCAGCCCGGAGCGGAGTCGGGCTGGAGACAGGCCGGGACTGCTGGCCACGCTGGCGGAGGCCTGGGGTCTGAGGGCTCCAGGGGGCCCTCCTGTGGGGACTCCTCCCCGGCAGCTCCAGGCCGCTGAGCACCGGCCTATGTGCTGTCCTCCTTCCAGAAACCGAGGATGGCGACCCCTGCGTGTTCCCCTTCACCTTCAACGGCAAGAGCTACGAGGAGTGCGTGCTGGAGAACAGGGTGCGGCTGTGGTGCGCCACCACCGCCAACTACGACCGCGACCGCGAGTGGGGCTTCTGCAGGCGGTGTGAGTACCCGGGGAGGGGGGGGACCCGCAGGCGGTGTGAGTACCTGGGGGGGGGGACCCGCAGGCGGTGTGAGTACCCAGGGGGGGGGGGCCCGCAGGCGGTGTGAGTACCTGGGGGGGGGGGGACCCGCAGGCGGTGTGAGTACCTGGGGGGGGGGGACCCGCAGGCGGTGTGAGTACCCGGGGGGGGGGGCGCAGGCGGTGTGAGTACCCGGGGGGGGGGCCCGCAGGCGGTGTGAGTACCCGGGGAGTGGGGGGGACCCGCAGGCGGTGAGAGTACCCGGGGGGGGGGGGCGCAGGCGGTGTGAGTACCCGGGGGGGGGGGACCCCGCAGGCGGTGTGAGTACCCGGGGGGGGGGACCCCGCAGGCGGTGTGAGTACCCGGGAGGGGGGGACCCCGCAGGCGGTGTGAGTACCCGGGGGGGGACCCCGCAGGCGGTGTGAGTACCCGGGGGGGGGGCGCAGGCGGTGTGAGTACCCGGGGGGGGGCCCGCAGGCGGTGTGAGTACCCGGGGGGGGGCCCGCAGGCGGTGTGAGTACCCGGGGGGGGGGGACCCCGCAGGCGGTGTGAGTGCCCCCCGGGCCGCGAGGGGACCCCGCAGGCGGTGTGAGTACGGGGGGGGGGGGGGCGGCGCAGGCGGTGTGAGTACCGGGGGGGGGACCCCGCAGGCGGTGTGAGTACCTGGGGGGGAACCCCACAGGCGGTGTGAGTGCCCCCCGGGCCGCGAGGGGACCCCGCAGGCGGTGTGAGTACCCGGGGAGGGGGGGGACCCGCAGGCAGTGTGAGTACCCGGGGAGGGGGGGGCCCCGCAGGCGGTGTGAGTACCCGGGAGGGGGGGACCCGCAGGCGGTGTGAGTACCCGGGGGGGGGGACCCCGCAGGCAGTGTGAGTACCCGGGGGGGGGACCCGCAGGCGGTGTGAGTACCCGGGGGGGGGGGGCCCGCAGGCGGTGTGAGTACCCGGGGGGGGGACCCGCAGGCGGTGTGAGTACCCGGGGAGTGGGGGGGACCCGCAGGCGGTGTGAGTACCCGGGGGGGGGGACCCGCAGGCGGTGTGAGTACCCGGGGGGGGGGACCCGCAGGCGGTGTGAGTACCAGGGACCTTGAGGGACTCCTGTAAGCGGTGTGAGTACTGTAGACCATGAGGGGGCTCCTGGAGGGCCAGGGGCAGCATCGGGGGAGCGTGGGGCAGGGCGGGCAGGGGCAGCATGGAGGCCAAGGGAAGCGTTGGGGAGCATGGGGTGGCCGGGGGGACGGGGGCAGTGTAAGGGGGATCTGGGGAAGCATGGGGGCTAGGGGCAGTGTAGTGGGGGGCTAGGGGCAGTATAGTGGGGGGCTAGGGGCAGCGTGGGGGGCGGGGGCAGCGTGGGGGGCGGGGGCAGCGTGGGGGGCAGGGGGCAGTGTAGTGGGGGGCTAGGGGCAGCGTGGGGGGCAGGGGGCAGTGTAGTGGGGGGCTTGGGGCAGCATGGGGGGCTTGGGGCAGTGTAGTGGGGGGCGGGGGGCAGTGTAGTGGGGGGCTAGGGGCAGCGTGGGAGGGTGGGGGCAGCGTGGGGGGCGGGGGCAGCGTGGGGGGCGGGGGGCAGTGTAGTGGGGGGCTTGGGGCAGCGTGGGGGGCGGGGGCAGCATGGGGGGCTAGGGGCAGCGTGGAGGGCGGGGGGCAGTGTGGGGGGCGGGGGCAGCGTGGGGGGCGGGGGGCAGTGTGGGAGGGTGGGGGCAGCGTGGGGGGCGGGGGCAGTTTGAGGACAGCGTGAGACCTGGCGTGTGTGGTCTGACGGTCCCTCCGCTGCTCCCCAGCCACCAGCCACCGCACGTCCGCCATCATCTTCAAGTGCGACGAGGAGGCCGACATCGGGCGGCCCCAGGTCTTCAGCGAGACGCGCGGGTGCGAGGTGACGTTCGAGTGGAAAACCAAAGTGGTCTGCCCGCCCAAGAAGATGGAGTGCAAGTTCATCCACGGGCACAAGACCTACGACCTGCGGCTGCTGTCCTCCCTCACCGGGGCCTGGTTCTTTGACCATGAGGGAGCCTCGTGAGTGCCGCCCGCCGCCCGGGGCCCTGCGCGGATGGGCCGTCCGAAAAGCTGTTAGCTGCCCCCACGCACTGCGGCTCCTTCGCGCTCACGCATGGCCTTTCCTTTTGCTTCTTTTTGGAACATTTTAAAAATTGATTTCAGAGGGGGGAGGGAGAGAGAAACATCAATGATGAGAGCCCTGGCTGGTTTGGCTCAGTGGATAGAGCATCAGTCTGTGGTCAGAAGGGTCCCAGGTTTGATTCCAGTCAAGGGCACAAGTCCAAATTGTGGGTTCGATCCCCAGTAGGGGGCATGCAAGAGGCAGCCGATCAATGATTCTTGCTCATCATTGATGTTTCTATCTCTCTTTCTCTCTCCCTTCCTCTCTGAATCAATGAGAATATAAAATAAATTTTAAAAAAGACCTATGCATTAAAAAAAAAAAAAAAAAGTAAACATTAGTGACAAGAGAGAATCATGGATTGGCTGCCTCCTGCTCATCTCCTATTGGGGATCGAGCCTGCCACCTAGGCATGGGCCCTTGATGGGAATCGAACCCAGGACCCTTCAGTCTACAGCTGACGCCCTGTCCACTGAGCCAGACCTGCTCGAGCAAGCGTGGCCTTCCTTTGCCGAGCGCCCGGAGGCTGACCGCCCTCTGGTCTCACAGGTACTACATCAACCTGTGCCAGAAGATAAACAAGGGGCCGCTGGACTGCTCGGACCGGGCCAGCGTCTGCAGGAAGAGTGCCGCGGGGGACGTGCAGGTGCTGGGGCTGGTGCACACGCAGAAGCTGGACGTCAGCGGTACGCCGGCCTCGGGGGGCGGTGCGGGCGGGCCCTGCTCCAGTGCCCGGGGGGCCGTGCGGACTTTGGGTGGAACCATGTCTCGGGCCTCCTGGGGCCGCCCCGCTCCGTGCTGAGAGTGGCTGTTGGTTGAGGGCCTGCTCCGGGCACTCGCCCACCCCGGGTTTGGTGCTCCTGTCACGCAGCTGGTGAGCAGGAGGCTGGGGTCGGGCCCAGGTCTCTGTGCGAGTCGCGGGGCGGCCAGAGGCCCTCAGGGCGGCCCCGGTGCCGATGCCCCGGCGACGAGTTTCCGGAAAGCCCAGTGCTGTTTCCGTCCTGGTCCTCGGTGCCGGTTTTGATTCCTGACTTGGAAGGTTTTCTTGGTACATGAGAACAGACGGCTTTGCCCTCTCTGTTTCAGATGACAAGATCACGGTGACGTACTCGAAAGGCGACGTGTGTGGTGAGAACAAGTCCACGTCCACTGTCATCGAGCTGACCTGCGCGAAGACTGTGGGCAGGCCCGCCTTCCGGAGGTGAGGGCTCCCCGTGGGGCGTGGCGTGGCGTGGCGTGGCGGCGCTCGGCAGCGTTTCTCGCTGGCTTTCCCGGCTCGTGGGTGTGTGAGCAGGAAGAGGGGGCTGGTGGCCATGCTCGGAAGGGGCTGGTGCTGAGACTGAGGGCCTGGGCTGGGGCAGGGCTGCTCCCCACAAGGAAAATGCGGGGGACACGCAGTGACTAGATGAAAGCAGCCGCGTGAGGTGGCGTGACACTGCCCTCTGTCCTTGGAAGGCATAGAGCCAGGGGCGTGGGGGGGTGCCAGCCAAGGCCGGTGCTCAAGCCGGAGCCCACGGGCAGGTGGTGGCACCTGGGACGGAGGCTCCTGAGATTGACTAGAATTCTCCAGGCAGTTCTGCATCTGGCGTGAGGGCAGGTGTGGCCAGCAGAGGGAGCCTGTGAGCTGCTGTAGGTGAACAAGGGGTTCCCTCCAGAGCTGAGCTTGCAGAGGGAAGACCACAGTGGCCATTGTCCACGCGTGGGCTTGGGCAATCCATGAGTCGCAAACACTTGTCAAGTAAAAATTTAAAAACCCAGGAGAAAGCTTTTCCAGCTTTTTGACGTTGCACAGTCTCTTAAGTTTAACCTGTTGCCCCTTTCGCGTGGCTACTGACTGGTCCTTCCTGACACAGTTTTGAGGAAAATGAACAAAAGAGCCGTCTCAGCCAGAGCTGCCTGCCTGTCACAGGGCGGCGGAGGCCCCGGAGCCTGGGGGCGGGGGAGGAGGGCCCGTGGCTGTGTGCGTCACCTCTCGAGGCCAGCCTGGCCCTGCCTGGCCGAGGGCATGACCGTCCCGCACCCCTCCAGGTTCGACATGGACACCTGCACCTACCACTTGAGCTGGGACACGCGTGCGGCCTGCGCCGTGAAGCCCCAGGAGGTGCAGATGGTGAATGGCACCATCACCAACCCCGTCAACGGCAAGAGCGTCAGCCTCGGAGACATTTACTTTAAGTGAGTGAGCCTGCCCCGGCACTGCCTGTGCTCCAGGCGGCGGCAGCTCGGCCCCGCCCGGGGTGGGGTGAGGGGGCGCCCTGCGGTCTGCACTCGCTCCCAGGACGTTATAGTGAACAGCTTCTTTTTAATATTTTTGTTGTTGTTGTTGATTTCTGAGAGGAAAGCGGGGGGGGGGGGGAGGGGGCGCGGGGAGCTAGAAACATCAGTGATGAGAGTCATCCATCAGCTGCCTCCTGCACGCCTCCTGCTGGGGTCTCAGCCCGCAGCCTGGGCATGTGCCCTGACCCTTAACCACTGAGCCACGCCGGCCAGGTTACACAGCTTTTTTGAAAGACTGCCGGAGTCACTGCTGCCTTTTCTGTCTCTCCAGGCAGTTCAGTGCCTCTGGGGACATTCGAACCAACGGGGACAAGTACCTGTATGAGATCCAGCTGTCTTCCATCACAAGCTCCAACAACCCGGTGTGCTATGGAGCCACCGTCTGCCAAGTTAAATCCAACGACCAGCACTTCAGCAGGAAAGTGGGAACTGCCGATAAAACCAAATACTACATTCAAGGTAATTGCCTTTTCCATTGTCCCACTTTACTTCCTCGAAGGAAGAGCTTTAAAATATTTGTGGAGTCTCTTCAGTTGAAATCTCCGATCCTTTTCGTTTTAATGTCTTGATTTTAAAATGAAAAAGAAAACTCTAAGCCCTGGTGCTGTCCTTGCCTTGTGTGCAGCCATCCCAGGGACTGAGCAGCCTGAGTCCCAGGGCCTCTCTCTGATCTGTCTGCCTCACACACTTACCTCCTGGCCTCCCCGCGGCGGCAGGCTGAACAGTTCCAGTCGCCTACAGCGTCGGGAGCGGACTGAATCCACACGAGGCTCCCTCACTTCTACCACCAGCTGCTAGTTTGGGGGGCTCATCACCAGCCTCAGGTTTGATAACTGCCTGGAAGGGCTCTGAGACTCACCGAGAGCCGTTAGTCCCGGGTGTAGCTCCTTACAGTGGAAGGATGTAGATTAGAGTCAGCCAAAGGAAGAGGCATGCAGGGCAGGGCAGGAGGGGGCCAGGCCCTGCTGTTCTCTCCCTGTGGGTTGGGGTGTGTGCATTCCCAGGTCAGCGAGCGACACAATGCGCTCAGTATTGCCAACCAAGGAGCTCACTGCCCCCTGGGGGCAGGGCTTTTATTGAGGCTCCATTAGGTAGGTTGGTTAATCGGTTGATTGAATGGTTGATTGGCTGGCTGGTTTATTTGCTGATTGGTTGATAGATTGATTGGTTGGTTAATTGAATGGTTAGCTGACTGGCTGGTTTATTAGTTGGCTGGTTGGTTAATTGAATGGTTGACTGGCAGGCTAGTTGGTTGGTTTATTAGCTGATTGGCTAATTGGTTGATTGGCTGATTGGTTGATTAGCTGGCTGGTGATTGGTTGATTGGCTGGCTGATTGGTTTATTGGCTGGTTGGTAGATTGGCTGGTTGATTGGTTGTTTGGTTGGTTTAATTGAATGGTTGATTGGATTGTTGGTTGATCAGTTGGCTGGCTGATTGGTTGGCTGACTGGCTGATTCATTGCCTGGTTGATTGATTAGCTGGCTGACTGGCTGGTTGGTAAATTTTATGGCTGATTGGCTGGCTGGTTAATTAAATGATTGGCTTGCTGGCTGGCTGATTAGCTGGTTGGTTGATTGGTTCTGTGGTTGGCAAACTGCGGCTCTTGATCCACATGCTGCTCTTTGGCCCCTTGTGTGTGGCTCTTCCACAAAATACCACGGCCTGGGCAAGTGTATTTTGAAGATGTGGCATTGGAAGAAGTTTAAGTTTAAAAAATTTGGTTCTCAAAAGAAATCTTAATCGTTGTACTGTTGATATTTGGCTCTGTTGACTAGTGAGTTTGCCGATCACTGGATTGGTTGATTGATTAGCCTACTAGTTTGTTGATTAGCCTACTAGTTTGGTGACTGGCTGGTTGTGTGGTTGACTGATTGTTGGCTGATTGGTTGATTTGCTGGTCGGTTGATTGGCTGGCTGGTTGGTTGGTTGCTCACTTGGTTTATTCCAGTCTCCAGATAGGCCAATACCACCGAGCCAGCTGCCACTCAGATCCTATTGTTACCTGAGGACAAAGCCAGCCCTCTCTCAGTCCGGGACCAGGCTGCCTTGCACACGGACTTAGGGAAGAGGTCCACGTGTGTGCCAGGTGGCCTGTGAGGAGAGCACATGAGAGTTATTTGATGGGGGACCCTTCTGCTTGGTCTTAAGTGTGTTCAAACTTTGTATTAACTTTTAGAAGATGAGCTATTACTGAAATAGTGATGATGACACTGCTGTGTTGTGTGCTCACCTTTCTCCTGGCAGATGGAGATCTGGATGTGGTGTTTTCCTCTACCTCCAAATGTGGGAAAGATAAGACAAAGACAGTCTCTTCCACCATCTTCTTCCACTGTGACCCTCTGGTGACCGAGGGGCTCCCCGAGTTCAACCATGAGACCGCCGACTGCCAGTACCTCTTCTCCTGGTACACCTCCGCCGTGTGTCCGCTGAGGTAAGTGCGGAGTCCCGGCATTGCAGGAGCCTGCTCTCGTCACTTCCTCTCTGGACGGACACTTACCAACCTCACCCCCACCTCCTCGCTCAAGACTCAGCTGCAGCTTTAGTGCGCGCACGCGTTTTCCGCCCAGTGTTTTATTGTGGAAAGAATTCAGACATGATCAAATCCAGAGACGTGGTAGAGGTAAACCTACCAGCCAGCACCTGGCGTCAGCAGTTGTCCACGTCTTGTCTCCTCGGTCCACTCCTTGTCACTGTGCGTAGCCCCGGCCACTCCCGGCAGCATCGGCGTGCGTGCCCCTTGGGCCCCGAGTGCCTCTCTCTTCGTGTCTTCTTCCAGCGGCGTGTTCCCCTTGGTGGGCCCTGGGAGGTGGCCGCTTTACCCCATCTTTGTTCCCAGCTAATCTTTTGTTTTCTAGTACAAACTACTAGGTTGGCTGGTTGAGAGATGGTTGTGAGTCAATGTCACTTTAACTCAAGGGAAGTATTTCTGCCCGAGGGAATGAGCATTTAGTCTACAAATCATGAGAATCTGCCGGAGGCCAGGTTTTCACGGAAAAATCATGTCTCTGCCCTGAGAGCTGCTTGGTGCAAAGGGAGGTGGCAGCCTCCTGGCCTCAGGAGCCTGCCTCTCACGTGCCCCCCGGTTCCCTGGCCCAGCCAGCCCGTCCGTGGCTCTCCTCTTCGGTGGGCTGTCTTCCTGTTTCACGCCCGTTGCTGTGTCCCAGCTCTGTGCTCCGTCCTGAGCCGAGGTCCGGGGAAACAGTTTCCCTGGTGATTGCTTCCCCTCGTTGCATGGAGAAGGACTCACAGTCAGCAGGAATTGATGGCAGGGACCCTGCAGGAGAGCGAGGCTCCACCTTCAAGATCTTAAATCTTACCCTGGTTTTGATTTTTACTTTCTATGGGCGCTAGTCCAGCAAAAAAAAATAAAATAAAAAATAAATAAAATAAAGGACAAAGCTGACTAACTGTCCCAGGAGCTCGGTTTAAGCAAGTCTCCACAAGCTTCTAAACGGCACACCGGTGCGTTCAGTTAGGGGCAGTGTCAGGACAGTCGCTGAGGAGTAGAAATACATTTGGAAACGGAGTCACACTTCTGAGTCCTCATGGGCCAGGGACGAACCAGAAGCAGAAACGAGGTTACACAGGGCCTGGGGGACGGGGAACACGTGTCGGCAAGCCCAGGTGCAGGACGGTGTCCCCGGCGCCGGCTGGCCCTGGCCCGGGGGGGCCCCTGGCTCTGAGGGCAGAGTCTTCAGAGCATCTCCCGGCCCCTCCAGCTCCTTGCTTCGGGCCCCGAGCCCTCCAGAGGGACAGGCCAGGACAAGGAGTGCGTCCCTCAGAGCTCAGCGCTCTCGCCTCCTCTGTCCCCGAGGCCCAGGCTGTGTCCAGCCTGCTTCCCGGTGCTTCTGCCTGGACTCGTAACCAGGACAGTTCCTAGTTGGGGTTCGTGTCCAGTAGACCTGGTGGTGAGGTGTGATGCGGGCGTGGCAGTCAGAGCCATCTCCGCGGTGGCGGCGGGCGCTGAGGGACGTGCCCTCCTTGCAGGGCGGGCTTCGACGGCGAGGACGCCGGGGCGGGCGTGCCGGCCCACACGGGGCTGTCGGAGCGGAGTCAGGCGGTGGGCGCGGTGCTCAGCCTGCTGCTGGTGGCGCTCACGGGCTGCCTGCTGACCCTGTTGCTCTACAAAAAGGAAAGGCGGTAAGGAGAGGCGGGAGGGCAGTGGCAGAAGCGCTCGGGGGGCAGTGTTCAGGGGGCCCAGCCGCACCCAGAGCCCAAGATAGAGCCAGAGGGCGGCTTCCAGCGCGCTTACAGACGCCTGCGTTCTGTGAGGAGGCGTCCCGGGCGCTCTGCCCTCAGGCCATGGCCGCTCTGGCCTCGCCGGCCAGTTCCCGGGACGCCTGGATGTGCAGAGGGACAGCCAGCCAAACCCCCGCACGAGCAGACTGCCCCGCTCCCTCCTTTGGTCCCTCTGAAGTAACCGCTTAGAGGCACCTGCTGTGGGCAAGGCCTGGTCACTCACCCGTGTGCCTTTCCATCCGGTTTGCACGTCACGTGACTCCGGCGTGCAGCTGGGAGCCCCGTGGTGGCAGCCCTGGGCCGGGCAGAGGGGCAGGCCAGCTCGGGGCCCCCTGTCCTCTCTCACCTGCCGTGAGCCAGAGGGCGTGGGCGTAGGCCGTCCGGGTTAGTCCCCACGCAGAGCCCACGCATCCTCGGAACAGCCTCGGGGTTGAGGAAGGTGTCCCACCTCGTTCACGCGTGGGAAAGCGGAAGCTCCGATGTCCCATAGCTGGCTCAGGCCTCGAGAGACCGCCACGCGGTGGGGCGGGATCTGAACCCACTTCTGTCCCATTCCGTGGCTCCCATTCAGTGGCCTGTGCGAGGAGAGGCTTGGGGGGGCCCCCGCTCGGTTAGGCTGGAACCTGCTTGTGCACCGGGAGTAACTGGTCTCTTGCAGGGAAACGGTGCTGAGTAAGCTAACCAGCTGCTGTAGAGGAAGTGCAAACGTGTCCTACAAATACTCCAAGGTATGTCCTGACCCCGGCCCGCCCGGGAGCTGTGGGGGGGAGCTGTGGACGGGAGCCGTGGGTGGGAGCTGTGGGGGGGAGCTGTGGGCGGGAGCTGTGGGCGGGAGCCGTGGGCGGGAGCCGTGGACGGGAGCTGTGGGGGGGAGCTGTGGGCAGGAGCCGTGGGGGGGAGCTGTGCTGAGGACATCCTCACCAGCAGCTGGAAGGAGGAAGGGAAGCCCTCGGTGGCTGTCGGCTCAGATACAAGTCCGTCTACTCTTTTATCCGCCCCGGGAGGCGGCTGGTTTCTGAGCCCCTGGCCTTCAGTGGCTCCTGCTCCCGGGCTGTCCCGAGCCCGTGTTCAGGCGGCGTCAGCTTTGTGCCTCTGGCGGTGGGTGATGTCCTTCAGAAGGATGTTGGGTGATGTCCTTCAGGAAAGGGGCATTGTTTGGACCAAAGGGCGTAGTGTGCTCTCGGCTCCCGATGCCACTGCCAGGCGCCTGCTAAAGGCTTATCTCAGCGGGACCCCGTCTCGTCCTTCCCCGCACAGGGTGCGGGCTGCTGCTGGGCCGAGGGGAGCCTGGATGCCCCACTGCTCTCCTGCCCCGTGACGCCGCTGGGCCCGCGGCTGAGGGGCAGAGAGGGGGCGCTGGCCCGCGGGGGAGGGCGTGGGCCGGGCCTGGCCGCAGGCGGGTGGGAGGGCGTGGGCCGCGGCTGAGGGGCAGAGGGGGCTCCACGCGCTCCGCTCCACCCCCAGCAGGTCAACAAGGAGGAGGAGGTGGACGAGAACGAAACGGAGTGGCTGATGGAGGAGATCCAGGCGCCGGGCGCGCGGCCTGCCAAGGACGGGCAGGAGAACGGCCACGTCACCACCAAGCCCGTGGAGGCCGCGGCCCTCGCCTCCCTGCACGGGGACGACCAGGACAGCGAGGACGAGGTCCTGACCATCCCAGAGGTGCGCGTGCACTCGGGCAGAGGGACTGGGGCCGCCGGCGCCCGCCCTGCGCGCCCCCCGCCGAGGAAGACGCCCCGGGGGGGGCTGGGGGGCGGCGCAAAGGCCAGGCGGGGGCCCCGGGCCGCGGCCAGGCCCGGCCCCCCCAGCGGCCTGCGCTCCTTCCACGACGACAGCGACGAGGACCTGCTGCACATCTGAGTCCGGGCCGCCGGCGCGTCCCCAGCGAGACCGCGGCGACCTCCCGTCACGTCTGCCTTTACGGAAACCGGTTCAAAGGGAATGATGTTGTGAAGGGGAGAGAGAGGGCGAGCAGGTCGGGCGCCTCTCATCCGTGTGGGCCACGGCCCGGATGAGGCCTGGGTCCGGCAGGAAGGGGTGGTGCTGGGGCCGGTCTGTCCCGCGTCCTCACTGGGTGCCCGGCACCTGGGGACAGAGGCCTCCGAGAACCCTTGCTGCTGCAGACCCGTCAGTGTCTGACCGTCATATTTAGCATTTACCTCTCTCTTCCTATTTATTGACTCTGACAATTACTCAGGTTTGTGAAACAAAAAAAAACAAAAAAACCCCAAAAAACAAAAAAAAAACATAAAAAAACAAAAACAACAAAAAAACCAAACCTCCCCCTCACTGCTTCCCGCCGGTGGGTGCGTGGCCGCCCTTAGTCCGGGGGAGCTGTCTGCGGGTGGTTTCATACTCGATTTTGAACTTGTTGACATGTAACCTCTAAGTTAGAATACTCGTCTGTCCTTTCCTCTTGGCTGTCTGTTTCCTGCGGGCACGCACACGCGTGGCCCCGAGTGCCTGAGCTTCCAGGGCCTCCTGCCCTCCGCCGGTGCCGGCTCTGCCGCCCGCCCGCCCAGGCGGTGAGCGTGGTGCCGAGGAGGCGACGGGCTCGGTGTCGCTGCCTCCGGCTCCGACGCCACCAATACTGTGCTTATTTTTCTAAGAAAAAAGTGTTTATCAACCATCGACCCATACGAAGCCTTAAGCTGCGCGGAGTGTGACTTGCAGCATTGCATGCAGGCTGGCGGGGGGACGGGCGGGGCGGTGCCTGCTCTCCCTGCTGCTGGCTCTCCTCGAAGTGTTGAACAGACGGCTTTCCTCTTTTCTAGAATGTTGTACATAGCGATAGTCACCTGCTGACAGACAGACCGCCTCTGGGCTCGTGGGTTTGTACTCAGTTTGGCTGGCTGATTTTATTTCAACTTGAGTATTTTTTAAAATTGATTTCTTTCCTCATTTTTTTTTTTTTCAATCAAATTTACTGTAACGAAAAGTATTCAACGATTTCAATAAAAGATAAATTATTAACTGGGTGTCACTGCTTTTTCCCCTGCCCGCCCGCCGCCCGCCTGCCCTCCCGTGAGGGCTCGGGGCCGCGCGCGGGCCCAGCTGCCGTGGGCGGGTGACCCCTCACGCAGCCCCACCGTCCTCTGGGGCCGTCCCCTGTGCTCCTCAGCGTCACCCACGTCTGGGTCCGGCCTCTTTCTGAGAAGGCAGGCTCCGGGGCCCCGTGGGTGGGTCCCACAGCCCCGGGAGGCGGCCGGGGTGAAGCGTGGCTCCTCCTGCACATACCGTCTTCCCTCTGTTACTGACCGGGCACCCAGTGCTCACGGGGAAGCAGACAGGCCGTCCATGCAGGCTTCTCGGAGTCAGCAGCCTCCCCTTCCTCCCGTTTTGTCGTGATCCGCTTGGAGCGAGCTCCTCAGTATTTTTCTTAGGATTTCACAATGTTGTTCAAGTATCAGAACCTCCGGAACGGTGCTGCTGACCCATTCCTCCTCTTTAAAAAAAAATAAAAAATAAATATATATATTGATTTCAGAGAGGAAGAGAGAGACAGAAACATCAGTCATGAGAGCGAAGCATTGATTGGCTGCCTTCTGCACGCCCCCTACTGGGGAATTGAGCCCCCAACCCGGGCCTGTGCCTTTGACCGGAATCAAACCCGGGACCCTTCCGTCCACAGGCTGACGCTCTATCCAACTGAGCCAAACTGGCTAGGGCTCCTTCCTTCCTTTCTCCTCCTCCTCCGAGTGCTGCATGTTGGGGCTGCTGAAGCCGACCCCGGAATGTGACCGTTCGCAGAGATAGGGTCCTTATACCGATGACACGCTAACAGCGAGGTCGGCGGGCGGGCCCTAACCCGCCATGACTGGTGTCCTTGCAGAGCGGAGACACGCAGACACAGGCACACACAGAGGGAAGCGGACGTGAAGACTCAGGGGAGAGACGGTCCAATGCCAGCCAAGGCGAGCAGCCTGGAGAGCCCTGCCCTGAGCCGCAGGAGGAGCCCACCCTGCCCGCCCCGTGAACTTGGACTTCTGGCCAAAGCGGTGAGGCGTAACCCTCTGTTTCAGCCTCCCACCCATGGTGCTTTATTACGTACGCAGCCCTAAGAGGCGCACCCCGACACTACAGGCCGCCCCGGCTTCCTCGCGGGGCGGCCGTGACGACACACGACGGCGACCACCGCAGTGCGAGCCCGCGAGCTCGCATGCATCACGGCCGCCGTCCCGTACTCCTCCCACACCCCCTCCCCACACTTTTTACTCGGCATTTATAGAAAACATGATGCAGAAAATACACGTGCTCTCTCGTCTGTTCATTCTCCCGCGGTCCCCGTCTCTCCCCTGAGCGCCTGGGCCCTTGCACAGAGGCTGGTCTGGGAGAGCGTTCGGTTCCGGATGGGGGACTCACCGGGCCCCAGGGGGACACCGTCGCTGTGACACGCCGCTGGTTGGCTTTGAACCTGAGCCCGGGCCTGCGCTCCGAGCCCTTCCCCGGCCTGAGGCCCCTTCACGCCCTCCGGTTGGTCCGCACGTGGAGGAGACACAGGCAGGGTGGGATTGCATGACACAGGGAGTCAGAGATGAAATCCCGGTCCCCAGAGAAGCGGCCGTGGAGCCATCCTCACTCGCTTGCTTGCATGTCCTCGGGGATGCTCTGGCACCAGGATCACACGCATGCAGTGGGCAAGGGGCTGACCCTGAGCCTTGTTTCTCGTGTCTGATGGCAGGGGCCACGGTACATGCTCCACGAGCCCCGGACTGTCCTCCACGCTCGGGCTGAGGGCACCGGCGGGCCCTTGGCCATTGGGGTCCCTGAAGCAGGGCTGGGGGAGGGGGCGGGAGTGATGCAGGGAAGGTAAAGGCCCCCCACCGCTGGTGTGGATGGGGCAGCTCCTGCCCAGAGCTGGCAGCTGCTTTCTCCATGGAAGAAAGTGGGGGTTCAGCTGAGACCTGGTCTGGCCTGGCCGCTGGGGAGGTGGGGCGGGGAGGAACCCCGCTTTCTCCCTGTGATGCACAGAGAGCAGGACCACTCCCCACACAGAGGACTCAGTCAGGGGAGCTGACACCCCATAGACCTTTTCCTGTGTCACTTGGGTTGTCCCCCAAAAGCAGTTCTCTGACACCACGTTAACCTGATCGGAGAGCAGGCCCAGTCCAGGCCCCACAGCGTGGCCATCAGAGGCGAGAGGTCCCTCCATCAGCCGCAGGAGGGCTCAGCTCCCACAGTCCGCTGATCTGGCTGCAGACTGGGGTTCCCATGGCCCCCTCCCTCTGGACTCTATGGAGCCGGGACCCCCTCCTCCGCCCCGCCCCGCCCCGTGTCAACGTGTCCTGCACCCGGGAGCTCAGCCTGACCTCGGGGTCTCCCGAGGCTTCCTCGCGGGGCAGGGCCTGCGGCCGGCTCACAAGGACGGGGCGGGCTTTCCTGCGGCCGGAGCCATCGCGGCGCCCACCAGAGTCCCCGTCAGAACAAAGCACCCCTCCCCGGGCTCCTGAGGCAGACAGACACCCAGACAGACTGCACTTCCAGCCTCTCCCAGGGCCACACAGTGTGCTGGGGACCCTTCCCTGTCCCCCAGGCTCTCCCTCTGGCCACGTGGGAGGGGATCTCGGAGCTGCAGCCCCAGGAGGGGCCGTGCTGCTGCCAAACCACTGGCTGGAGGCAGCCCCGGTGCCCAGGGACGAAGGCCCCCTGTCACCTGTGCAGCTGTCCCTCCTGTGCACGGAGGCCCCGGTCAGCAGCCTGGCCTGGGCCCAGGGGGCCGCATCGCTGAGGGTCGTGTCCCAGGGCCAGGCTGTCTGAGGGCAGCTGGTGGGGGCCCAGGAAACCAGGCCGCGCTGCGTCGGGCAAGGACGCTGGGACGTGGGCCTGTCTGGGGAGCTGGCCCTCGCACCCCGTTGCGTCCCACGCGCCCCAGCCCGAGGACCGTTACCTGCAAGAACAGAGCTGTGTCTGGTTCGGCAGTGCTGCTCTGCCCCAGCGCCACGCCCGCTGCCGCCGCCCAGGCCCCACATCCCGCCCGGGCTCCGGTGTGACGTGCAGGGAGGCTCCGGCTCTGCCCCAGGGAGAGGCGGCCCTGAGGAGGCAGGGCGGCCACAGGCTCCCCGGCCCGGGTGCACTCGGGGTCATCTGGGCACTTGGCCGGCCTCCTCACCGCCTGCCGACCCCTCCACCCTGCGGACAGCATGTGAGGCTGAGGGCGGGAGGGCTCCCCTGCCCTCTGCCTGCCGCTGTTCCCGGGGAGTCCGCCCGGGCACGGTGAGCTGGTGGTGAGCAAGGCCCACCCCGTGTCTGGAGCCCGCACCACCTGCCGCGGGCAGTGACTTGGCCAGTATTTGCTGAGTCAACAAATGCACGGGAGCCAGAGGCAGCTCCCTGGCCCAAGCGCCACCTGCAGCTGGGAGGCTCCGCAGAGAGGGAACGGGGTGGGGTGGGGGGGAGTGTTGTTGCCCCCCAGTTCCCTCAGGGGCGGAGGGCAGCCACCCCGCGTGCTGCAGGGGCAGGAAGGATAAGGTGACCAGACGTCCCACTTTTGAACAATTGGTCCCTCATCCCTCAGCATTTTAGAAAAGTCCAAAAATCGGGACTTTGGGGACTTTTCTGAAACGCCGCCGGACGCGGGTCAAATTGTTGAAAACATGGACTGTCCCGCCAAAAGGGCCCTCTCCAGCGGGTGGTCAGGAGCCTGGTGCTCGGGGGCAGCTCGATCGCAGACCCGCCCGCTGCCAGGCCCACGGGCCACTGGCCGGCCACGCCATGGCGGCGGGCTGCTCCGCGGTGCCCACGTGGAGGACGCGCGGGCGCAGGTCCGGGAGCCGCTGGTTCCCGGAGCGGACGCCCCTCCTCGCCCTGCTCTCGGCCGCCATGCCCCCATCTACGTGGGCGTCGTGTTCCTGGGCTTCACCCCCGAGCACCGCTGCCGCCCGAGCCCGGGCACGGCCCAGCTGAGCCGGCGCTGCCGCCCGAGCCCGGCCCAGGAGCTCAGCCTCACGGCGCCCGGCCCCGGGCCCGCGGGCGAGGCCTTCCCCCGCCGCTGCCGCCGCTTCCGGGTGGACTGGAACCGCAGCGGCCTGGGCTGCGCGGACCCGCTGCCGGCCTGGCCGCCGACCGCAGCCTCCTGCCGCTGGGCCCCTGCGGGCACGGCTGGGCGTGCGACCGACCGAGGTGAGAGCCGCCCGGCGGGGGGGGGGGGGGGCGTGCGGGGGTCAGGTTTGGTTTCGGGGTGAGACGGGGGCGGGTTCTGTGCAGTGAGCAGTGGGTGCGGGTCAGGCCCCTTCGGGCTGCTGCAGGGACGGCACGGGTCCGGCCAGCACCGGGGAGCGGCTCTGTTCCCAGGCCGGTCTGGACGAGGCCATGCTTCCCAGAAACGAGGGGCAACCGGGTGCCAGGGTCCCCACGCGGGGGCTGGGCCCCTCCCCCTGCCTGGCCAGCACGCTGTCCGGGGGCGGGGAGGGGGAGGGGGCAGAGGGCCGGTGCTGGGCCACTTGCTCTCTGTGCTCAAGCGGGCGCCCACTTCTTGAGCCTCGACCACCAGGGTCCCAGGGTCCACTTGGCGTCCACTGCTCCGAAGACAGCCGTGAGGGGCCTGGCGCCCAGGGCCACGGCCTCCGACGGCCCCGGCGGGATGGGCTCTGCTGGCACTCTGCCTACTCCGCCCGGCAGCCCCGCTGTCCCTGCTCGGCCCGGGTGCGGTGAGAGCAGAGCCCGGCTGCCTCCTGGTCAGCGGTCGGGGGAGGTGTGGGGAGGGGAGAACAAGGCCCCGTGGGGGCAGATGCAGAGGGGCCTGGGCTCTGAGGGGGTCACGTGGCTGAGCTGGAGGAGGGGCGAGGCAGGGAGCTGCGAGGAGAGGCAGCGAGGGGAGGGAGCCCGAGCTGTGGAGCCGGTTCTGTTTTGGGGTTCGGTGAGCAGTCTTGGGGGGCAGCGGGGTGCTCGCTCACCTTTGGGCCAGGACACCCAGCTAAGTGAGCCTCCAGATGCACATGCACCCTTCCAGGGGCTTTGTCCCAGCCCCAGGCCCCGGGCCCCAGGCCCCAGGCCCTGTGGCTGGTAAGGAGGCTGGGGTACAGGGGCTGTGAGGGGCGGGGCTTATCCTAAAAGGAAGTGTCCGCCGGATTCAAGGGCAGCTGCACCCGAGGTTTTTCTGCGAACCCCGCACCCTGCCTTTGTGCCAGGCACAGGGGTTTGGGGAGAGGCGGAGGGTGGGGGCTGGGGGGACAGGGAGCCGTGAGGAGGCGGGAAGGAGCCCCAGTGGGTGGTGCCAACCACCATGGTTGTCACGGGGCAGAAGGAGAAGCGGCTTAAGAGATCCAGCCCTGCCGAAACCGGTTTGGCTCAGTGCATAGAGCGTAGGCCGGTGGACTGAAAGGTCCCGGGTTCAATTCCTGTCAAGGGCATGTACCTTGGTTGCGGGCACATCCCCCGTGGGGGGCGTGCAAGAGGCAGCTGGTCGATAACTCTCTCTCATCGATGTTTCTAACTCCCTTCCTCTCTGTAAAAAATCAATAAAATATATTTTAAAAAAAGAAAAAGAAAAAAAAAAAAAGAGAGAGAGAGACACAGCCTGGGCTGGTGGAGGAGGGACCCACTCTGCTCGAGGGTCTGGCTTGGGGGGATGGGTGAACGGAGCCACTGGCCGGGGTGGAGGTGGGGGAGAAGGAGGCTGGTGAGGGGGGATCTGGGGGAGGAGGCTGCAGGGGGAGGCAGGTGAGGGGGGCCTGGGGGAGGGGGCTCCCCTGGAGAGGAGGGTCAGATGTCAGAGGACAAAGGGCCATTAGAACGGGTCACTGTGGGTTCTGAGTGCCCGAGGTTGGGATGACCCAAGCTCTGAGTGATTCCTGGAAATACCTGGACGGGGAGGCGGCTGTGGGAGACAGTGTCCCGGGTGAGGGCGGGGGACACGTGCGTGTGAGACTCCCCTGCAGCCGGGGTAGGTGATTGGACGCTGGGTGGGGCTCGAGGTCAGGAGGTCAGGAGAGGCTCCTGGCAGCCGTGGTGCCCCTGCCCCGCTGCCGGCCTCCCTCC